CGATTTTCACAAGGTTTGGCGTTTTGTTGATGGTTTGGCCTCTAGATAAATTCTGCATCTTAATCTGGCAACACAATTTTTAGTCAAAATGCATGTGAAAATTGTACCCTCAAATATCCTATATAGACAAGGGTCAACATTGCATACCCCATAACTCGGTCCAAACTCAAGCGTTTTTCACATGGTTTGGCTTTTTGTTGATGGTTTGGCCTTTAGATCAATTATGCATCTGAATCTGGCAACAATATTTTAGTCAAAATTCATGTGAATATTGTGCCCTCAATTATCCTATATAGACAAGGATCAACATTGCATACCCCATAACTCGGTCCAAACTCAAGCGAATTTCACATGGTTTGGCTTTTTGTTGATGGTTTGGCCTTTAGATCAATTATGCATCTGAATCTGGCAACACAATTTTTAGTCAAAATTCATGTGAATATTGTACCCTCAAATATCCTATATAGACAAAGGTGAACATTTTCCACCCTCATAACTCGGTCAAAACTCAACCGATTTTAATAAGGTTTGGCTTTTTGTTGATGGTTTGGCCTCTAGATAAATGCTGCATCTTAATCTGGCAACACAATTTTTAGTCAAAATTCATGTGAGTATTGTACCCTCAAATATCCTATATAGACAAAGGTCAACATTTTCCACCCTCATAACTCGGTCAAAACTCAACCGATTTTAATAAGGTTTGGCTTTTTGTTGATGGTTTGGCCTCTAGATAAATGCTGCATCTTAATCTGGCAACACAATTTTTAGTCAAAATGCATGTGAAAATTGTACCCTCAAATATCCTATATAAACAAAGGTCAACATTGCATACCCCATAACTCGGTCCAAACTCAAGCGTTTCTCACATGGTTTGGCTTTTTGTTGATGGTTTGGCCTTTAGATCAATTATGCATCTGAATCTGGCAACAACATTTTAGTCAAAATTCATGTGAATATTGTACCCTCAAATATCCTATATAGACAAAGGTGAACATTTTCCACCCTCATAACTCGGTCAAAACTCAACCGATTTTAATAAGGTTTGGCTTTTTGTTGATGGTTTGGCCTCTAGATAAATGCTGCATCTTAATCTGGCAACACAATTTTTAGTCAAAATGCATGTGAAAATTGTACCCTCAAATATCCTATATAAACAAAGGTCAACATTGCATACCCCATAACTCGGTCAAAACTCAACCGATTTTCTTAAGGTTTGGCTTTTGTTCATGGTTCGGCCTCTAGATCAATTCTGCATCTGAATCTGGCAACACTATTTTTAGTCAAAATTCATGTGAATATTGTACCCTCAAATATCCTAAATGGACAAAGGTGAACATTTTCCACCCTCATAACTCGGTCAAAACTCAACCGATTTTAATAAGGTTTGGCTTTTTGTTGATGGTTTGGCCTCTAAATAAATGCTGCATCTTAATCTGGCAACACAATTTTTAGTCAAAATGCATGTGAAAATTGTACCCTCAAATATCCTATATAGACAAGGGTCAACATTGCATACCCCATAACTCGGTCCAAACTCAAGCGATTTTCATAAAGTTTGGCTTTTTGTTGATGGTTTGGCCTCTAGATCAATTCTGCATCTTAATCTGGCAACACAATTTTTAGTCAAAATTCATGTGAATATTGTACCCTCAAATATCCTATATAGACAAAGGTGAACATTTTCCACCCTCATAACTCGGTCAAAACTCAACCGATTTTAATAAGGTTTGGCTTTTTGTTAATGGTTTGGGCTCTAAATAAATGCTGCATCTTAATCTGGCAACACAATTTTTAGTCAAAATGCATGTGAAAATTGTACCCTCAAATATCCTATATAAACAAAGGTCAACATTGCATACCCTCATAACTCGGTCAAAACTCAACCGATTTTCATAAGGTTTGGCTTTTTGTCGATGGTTTGGCCTCTAGATCAATTCTGCATCTTAATCTGGCAACACAATTTTTAGTCAAAATTCATGTGAATATTGTACCCTCAAATATCCTATATAGACAAAGGTGAACATTTTCCACCCTCATAACTCGGTCAAAACTCAACCGATTTTAATAAGGTTTGGCTTTTTGTAAATGGTTTGGCCTCTAAATAAATGCTGCATCTTAATCTGGCAACACAATTTTTAGTCAAAATGCATGTGAAAATTGTACCCTCAAATATCCTATATAAACAAAGGTCAACATTGCATACCCTCATAACTCGGTCAAAACTCAACCGATTTTCATAAGGTTTGGCTTTTTGTCGATGGTTTGGCCTCTAGATCAATTCTGCATCTTAATCTGGCAACACAATTTTTAGTCAAAATTCATGTGAATATTGTACCCTCAAATATCCTATATAGACAAAGGTGAACATTTTCCACTCTCATAACTCGGTCAAAACTCAACCGATTTTCATAAGGTTTGGCTTTTTGTTGATGGTTTGGCCTCTAGATCAATTCTGCATCTTAATCTGGCAACACAATTTTTAGTCAAAATTCATGTGAATATTGTACCCTCAAATATCCTATATAGACAAAGGTGAACATTTTCCACCCTCATAACTCGGTCAAAACTCAACCGATTTTCATAAGGTTTGGCTTTTTGTTGATGGTTTGGCCTCTAGATAAATTCTGCATCTTAATCTGGCAACACAATTTTTAGTCAAAATTCATGTGAATATTGTACCCTCAAATATCCTATATAAACAAAGGTCAACATTGCATACCCTCATAACTCGGTCAAAACTCAACCGATTTTCATAAGGTTTGGCTTTTTGTTGATGGTTTGGCCTCTAGATAAATTCTGCATCTTAATCTGGCAACACAATTTTTAGTCAAAATGCATGTGAAAATTGTACCCTCAAATATCCTATGTAAACAAAGGTCAACATTGCATACCCTCATATCTCGGTCAAATCTCAACCGATTTTCATAAGGTTTGGCTTTTTGTTGATTAATTCTGCATATCAATCTGGCAACAAAATTTTTAGTCAAAATGCATGTGAAAATTTTACGCTCAAATATCCAAATAAACAAAGGTCAACATTGCATACCCCATAACTTGGTCAAAACTCAACCGATTTTCACAAGGCTTATCGTTTTGTTCATGGTTTGGCCTCTAGATCAATTCTGCATCTTAATCTAACACACAATTTTTAGTCAAAATGCATGTGAAAATTGTACCCTCAAATATCCCATATAGATAAAGGTCAACAATTCCCACCCTCATAACTCGGTCAAAACTCAACCGATTTTCATAAGGTTTGGATCTTTGTTGATAGTTTGGCCTCTAGATTAATTCTGCATCCAAATCTGGCAACACAATTTTTAGTCAAACTGCATGTGAAAATTGTACCCTCAAATATCCTATATAAACAAAGGTCAACATTGCATACCCCATAACTCGGTCAAAACTCAACCGATTTTCTTAAGGTTTGGCTTTTGTTCATGGTTCGGCCTCTAGATCAATTCTGCATCTGAATCTGGCAACACTATTTTTAGTCAAAATTCATGTGAATATTGTACCCTCAAATATCCTAAATGGACAAAGGTGAACATTTTCCACCCTCATAACTCGGTCAAAACTCAACCGATTTTCACATGGTTTGGCGTTTTGTTCATGGTTTGGCCTCTATCAATTCAGCATCTAAATCTGTCAACTTTATGTTTAATCAAAATTCATGTGAAAATTGTACCCTCAAATATCCTATATAGACATAGGTCAATATTTCATACCCTATAACTCGGTCAAAACTCAACCGATTTTCATAAGGTTTGGATGGATCAGCATCTAAAAGGTAAATTGGCTTATCGTCAGACCGGTTTCATACTTATTTCAAAGATCTTTTAGAGAATTTATGTTATACCATTTATGTATACCAGATAGTATAATAATAAAGTATTTAATACGAAGGCATATAATTATCATATATGTATGTGTGTGTTTGTGTGCGTGTGTGTCCTAGTGTATTTGTATATATGCATTTATGTATAGATGTATGCATTTATGTTTATTTTCTAATACCCAACGAAGACCAAACCTATTCGTCAAAATAAATAGCAAATAAAGAAGTTTCATACAAACGTTTTTCGTGATTTTCCACACATGGAGTGGAATTTCCCGACACCCCATAAAAGGGTAACTACAGTGAACATTTCAGCTTCCCAGCTCTTAAGGTTTGGGCTATGCGATGATCGCCAATCAGTCAGTCAGCCCGGACAAACAGTTTTATTTATAGAGATATTTTTATGTATGTGCATATATTATAAGCATCCTATTAATAAAAAATTGGTGCACATTTATATTAATATTTTCCACACAATTTGTTGAAAGGGGAAACTATGTGTCTTGGAAACACAACGTGCAGAAAATTTTCTATTAGATAAACTGTCAGTCATTTGCGGTGACATTGGCGACAGGGCTAACGTGAACGTGTGCCCAGGAGCCCCAATACGAAAGTCATACTATGATATTTTAAATTATTGTGAACCCCTCGTGAACATTGTGAGATTGTCACCACCAATATACCCTGTATATTACTCAAAATATATTTCAGTCGTAATTGTCTATAGGATTTCATTAAAAGCAGGGATGATTGAATAAGAAGGTAGAAAGCAAGTAAATAATATAATAAAAAATATTAATGACAAATCTAGTTATTAGCTAAAAATCAGTCTCCTCATGTACGCAGGTAATAGGACAGCACATTCACAGGTATTGAAATACTAAAAATTTTGCACGTGTTTTAGTCTGGAGGTAACTGAATTTTACACGTAAAATATCAAGAAAAACACCTAGTGTGCATTATGAATTTAATACAATACGTGACATTATACAAAATTGACAGTCAGCAATGACTATTTGCGACATGGTAACTAACTGACAACATAAGACAATATTCCACCACATTTGAAATTCGATAGGAGCGCGCTCAAAGTTAAAAATATTAAGCGTTGCGCAACACTCCCATATAGCGCGATATATTGTATCTCGTCACTATTAAGTCGACCAACCTCCACGCTGGTGCGGCGTGGTCCTCAGATTTACTGACATTTAATAAAAAACTTCAATAACAATGGATGATGAGGCGGAAACTTATAAACTTTGGCGAATACGCAAGACTATCATGCAACTAAGCCACGATCGTGGGTACCTTGTGACCCAGGATGAATTGGACCAGACTCTAGAGCAGTTTAAGGAAATGTTTGGTGACAAACCCAGTGACAAGCGCCCGTCGCGCTCAGATTTGATCGTATTGGTGGCCCACAACGACGATCCTACTGACCAGATGTTTGTCTTCTTTCCCGAGGAACCGAAGATTGGTATCAAAACCATAAAGACGTACTGTACCCGCATGCAGGAGGAAAACATACATAGAGCCATCGTCGTGGTGCAAGGAGGCATGACTCCCTCGGCCAAGCAATCGTTGGTCGACATGGCACCCAAGTATATACTCGAACAGTTTCTGGAGTCTGAGCTGCTTATCAACATTACAGAGCACGAGTTGGTGCCGGAGCATGTGGTAATGACAGCGGAGGATAAACAAGAGCTACTAAGTAGATACAAGCTAAAGGAGAACATGTTGATGCGGATCCAAGCGGGAGATCCTGTCGCGCGCTACTTTGGCCTGAAACGTGGCCAAGTAGTGAAAATTATACGTTCCTCTGAAACAGCGGGTAGATATATATCATATCGATTGGTTTGCTGAGCGACTTGCAGACCGGCTGACAGCTCTTGTAAAATCAAACAAGCGCAATAAAAATATATATTTTCTTTTAAGCTTGCATTCAGTTTAAATGAATAAATAATTACATATAATTTTAAAATAAACCGTAATTAATCATTATATCAGTAAATATGAGTTACGTTTTCTAATTGCAGAAGTTATTAAGACTTTCCATACACTTAGCATTTTCGCAATATAAAACAAAAAATTGATGTATCGATAGTCTCATATTCTGTCGATAAGTGTAAAGGTATAACACTGTGCGAAAAGAAAAAAAAATACAGAAAATACAATTATACAATCTGAGGTGTGTTGTCTGTGCCTGGTCTGCTAAACAGCTAGTGGCGTCCATTCTGAGATGGCCATGCTAACGCGCCTGACCAGCAGCGGTACAACAACTGTAGCACCCGGCTCGCCAAAGGGCTTGCAACGTTTTCAAAACTACCTCACCGCATTCCTTTGGCCGAGTGCATCGCAGCGACAGCAGCGCAAGTCCTCTACGCAGTTAGATGCCATTGATTGCTTTACCAACGAGTTGGTCAACCGTAAGACACAAAAATGGGAGGAGCTGCGAGAAAATCTGATGAAACCCGTTGTCGAGGATTCTAGTTACGGAGGGAACTTTGGACAGAATGTCGGTCTGATGTCTAAAGGTATGATGAGCGACTTGAAAACGCTACGCTCACCGCAACTGGGCCTAGACATACGATCTCTGTCGCAACCGCAGCTGGACAATTTGCTCCTAGCAACGCTGGAGATCAAGAATAAGGTTGACTTTCTCTATTTAATACGCCAATGCGTACGCTGGCAGCAGTTGCCCTGCAACGAAGTTTTTGTCTCCTGCTTAAAGTATTTGAGCTCATTGGGCCGTATGCAGCAGCTGGAATCGCTTGCAGAGACATGCCGACAGTTGAAGCATCCTTTTGCAAGCACTTACTCGGATCTGGCTCCGTTTAAGGCTATTGCCCTATGGCACAATGGCAAATCAGATGTCGCGTTAATGACGCTGCATCGCGGCTATGGCGGAAGCCTTAATACAGAAGAGGGCAGACGCATGATTCGCGTTGCCTTTCGTACCATTGTAGAGGAGACTTTGGCCCAGAAAAGCGAAGCAGTACTTGTATCCCTTATAGAAGTCGCGCGTGACATATACCAAGAGCACAAGGACATATTTGTGGTGGCGTGCGTGTGGAAACAGTGTTTTGCCAGTGATTGGTTTTGTGATCAAAAATCTGCAAGCGAACTATTCGAACATTATAAGGAGCTGCAGCAACTTGTGGATCGCAGGTGCGTACTAATTTGATTAATCCAATTTTTATTGATATTCGAAATTCTTAAAATAATTCTTTTAGAGCCAGTCCACTCTGCTCCTCGTTCCTGAGTCGCCACAACATTGATGCCGTTCATCGTCTAATAGAGGTATTTTTGCAGCACAATCAGCGAACCGCATGCGGCAATTGCCTAAGTTTGCTCTTCAACTATCAATGTATGGGTCAAACTTTATTTAATTATACTTGATATATGACTAATTTTTATATTTTACAGACTTGCGCAAGGACCTGCGTGCTTGTGCTGAAATTGTAAAATCCTGTAGCGAACTTGAAATGCCATTGAATGAGCTGCAAAATGAACAGTTCCTTAGTCTTTTCCTTGATCAAAGCGATCCATTTGAGACAGCAGCTGGCAATCGTAGTGCGGCCAAGTACAAAACAAAATCGTTCCAGTACAAATTTTAGAGGCAATAAGTTTCGCACTTCTCTGAAACCGTAATTATAATTGTAGAGCACAAAATGATGCAACAGCAATCATCCCGTTATTGCATTACAGCAATATGCACATATACCTTTAAACCTTTAATAAATGTTATATACCTTTAACACTTTTAGTCTTGCTCACGAATATAATGGACCATTGGCTAAAAAAATAATTCAATATCACTTTAACAAGCTGCCAATTATAAATTTAGTTAACCCAAGACGTACTATTAAGTCTTTGAGTAAATTTGAACCAAATCCTTTGAAATTTTATTAGACTATTTTTGCTTAACTATTTTATTATTATTCAAAGGGTATCTCATGTCAACAGTTTTAAATGTCCTTGATGTTCCCATCAGGTAACTGCGACGTTGCAAGTCCCATGCATTCATAACAGCGTGAGATTAGATGATTGCCACATCGATGCACCTGACACTGTTGGCAACGAGAACGCGCTTTAATTTCACGCTTGTTGCGAGCGCAGGGTTTGCAACGACGATGCCTATCTCCATAACGACTAACCAAAGTGACACCTTCGGGTAGCATGGCATTAGCCACACTAATAACGCCTATTCCATTCGAGTGCTTTGCATCGTTCGATGCTTCACTTAACAGCCGCTGGCTAGACTGACCCAAAATCTCACAAATTTGCAAACGTATAACCAGCGATGTACTCGTAGACCGACGATGCAGGCGGCGTTGTAAGCGTTGCTGAGTTAAAAAGAGTCCCAGTTGGCGCTGGCAGTCGCGTTGCTCCATATTGGCATCGCCGGTTGGCGATAGTCGGAGTAATATCCAAGCGTTAACAGCTGCCACATTGAGCATCAAATGCAGCAATTGCAGGAATAAGCCGGGCTTAGCTCCCGCCAGACTTGCAGGCAGAGACAGAGCTGTACTATATCTGTTGGACAATTCTAAAAATTGGTTGCAGGTTTGGAAAGTGTGCAGTTGCGTTTGCAAGGCATTTAACTGACTGTTCAAGCCACAGCTGAGCAATGCGACGCCAGATTGCTGGGATAGTTTCTTAGAGCCGTTTTTAAGGGTTCCACCCGACCAAGCTTTAGGATAGTCCAACGAAGTGGAGGGCAATGTGCAAATACTACTTAAATTGCATTGAAGCAGTTGTTCGCAATGGTTCACGCTGACAAAATCCGAGCATAGCGTTACATTACGACCTGTGGTTTTGTAATCGCAAATGAGCTGCATCAGTTCCTTATTGGGCTTCATCTCTGGCTTTGTAAGTAACGCATTGGTCATATAGAGAGTCTTGGCATCACAGCAGAGTGTCAAGAGCACATTATCAAGAGACTGCTGCTCATCCACACAAAGCCAACCACTGGGTCCATAATAAGAGCGACAGTTTATAAGTAGTTTTTGCCACAGGCGCTGTGCATCGTTCCAGCTGCTATCACCCTGATAGCTAAGGCAATTTGCAATAAACTCGAAGCGTGTGAGCGACATTGCAGCACGAAAGATGGCATTTCCTAGCTCTAGCGTCCAGAGCTCCTCTGTTAAAAGCAAAAGGGTGAGAGAACGGATAAATTATACGTGATAGCTGTTTAACTACCCAGCGGTCCATTGTACTGCGCATTGCGAAACACGCCACACAAATAACTTAAGCCCAGCCAAGAGCGCAGCTCTGTGAGATCTACGGACCGCTCTGCAGCATTACTGGTTCGTCGCTTACGTATCCGCTCGTTAACCAGGCGTAGCAGCATGCGCAACATTTCATCATCAAATAATAGCATCCAAGACTCCACAGCATTGGAAACAGATCTTGCCGGCCCTTTACCGCAAGCTTGCTGCCTAGGAACCATTAGTTCCTCCTGTACAGGAGTCACATCACGATCCACGTTCCAGATATGACCACTGCAAGAATAGAAACTGACGCCGCTGTTTGAAGGCCGCCCACGTTTACCACGACCTTTGCCAGGTATCAGTACCTCCTCAGAGAGCTGTGCATCCAGCAAAATGTCTTCATCATTAAAAAGCCACGAAAAGTTAGATGACATCGAAGATGTTTCCTGCAGCGGATCTGCGTGCCCTTCGACTGGAGTCTTAAGATCCATTTCTAAATTCTCCTCATCCATTCGCTGGACATTATTGCGCTTATTGCCACTGCTTTTTGTGTTTAACAATAGCTGCTCGTCTAAGACGCAAGCCATTTCGTCGCTGTCATCCATTGTGTACCATTCGTTGTTTATGTTTTTTGTATGCCGTGAAGTTAGCTGTGCGCACATTTTACTCTTACGTGAAGTTGGCTGCGTGCACGAATTGATGCTCGCGTAAGTGTGTACTTATCACATCAAAAAAAAACATAATTAAAACGGCAGCAAAACAAAACATTGCTATTCTAATTGTTCGCTAAACTAAATCTGCGGTGTACGTGTATATATAAATTAGATGAAACGATATATCCACTGGCGGCACGTGTACACCATTTTAGATAAACAACAACAACACTCTCAAATACATAAAATACTTCGCAGAAAGCAACCCAAGCGCAGCTCCCACAGGGAGGTTAGAAGACAGCTCTATAAACCATTTAAACTTCAACGTAAAATATTGAATCACTGAACAACTGTAGTGTTTACCTTGTGTGAATTAAGCGCGCGTATTAAGCGATTTGTCAAAAATTCTGCTTGGCAATGTCAATTTGACATGTTATACTGTCACGTCTTAGGTAAAGTCTTATACTAGGAGCTGTCGATAGACGATATCACAGTAGGTTTCGATAACAAACAAATTTTCAGGCGAGAAATTTCAAAATAAATAAATATGCAGTAGGAGGCCATGATAAATTTGTGGCAGCTTGAAAATGTCGTCTAGTCAAAGTTAGTCTAATTTCAAAGCCGGTGCTGTGAACACAAAAATACGAAAATTAGAAATAATATAGAAGATATTTATTTACTATTTTTTTTTGTGAAAAAAGTTTTTGAGGAGCTGCAAGTCATTCCGTGCTTGTACTCCTTTTTTTGTTGGTGTCTGCTGTGTGTAATCATGATCTCGCCGGAACAGCATGAAGTTGATTTGGTGTTGGATCGCCAAGTGCGCCGGAATATTCAGGACATGATGCACGAGGCTGATGTACAAGCGAATATGTTAGAAAGCGAAGGTTAGTACCGGCATCAAATCCATATGTCACCTATTGACTGTTCGATTTAGGCGTTTCGGCACGTGAGCGCTACAACTCGGAATCTAGTATCGACCAGGATCATTTACAGCAGGACACAATGGCGGTGCTGGGCACCCTATCTGCAGATGAGATTGTCGAAGAGGACCAAGACTCTGAGCAAGCTGTTCAGGAAATACAGAACTTTCATGATATGCTGGTAGAAACGCACATTGATGTCAATGGTTCGCTTAGAAAACGTCGCGGCAATTTGCCAAAGCACTCTGTGAAGATATTGAAACGCTGGCTTTACGAGCATCGCTACAATGCGTATCCCAGTGATGCAGAGAAGTTTGCCCTCTCCCAGGAGGCGAATCTAACCGTGCTTCAAGTATGCAACTGGTTCATAAATGCTCGTCGGCGCATTCTGCCAGAGATGATACGCCGCGAGGGTAATGATCCTTTGCATTTTACTATCTCGCGCCGTGGTAAAAAAATAAGCCCAAACTCTTCGGGTTCCATGGGTTTAAATATTAACTGCGCCCCAAATCCCATTACAGGCAGCCCTGCCTCGGAAGTGGTGAGATTTATATGTAATCACGATTGATCAATTCATATATCTTAAAATATTTCTTCCAAAGGTTGTTGGCGCTACAGAGGAGGTGCACAGTGCCGCTGAAATGCATGAGGGAATAGCCAATGTACTAACCAATTTCGATGAATATGTGCGTGCACCCAATGGCCAAATGGTCAAAATGGAGCCAGAGTTCGATGAGAGTGTTATTTACAGGTAATGCTCAGGTTGCTTAAGTAATTAGCCTGTAGCCAAAAAACCCTTCCCCCAAGTTGGCAACAAGCAATAGCAAACAATCCGATGGGCTTTCAGAGGCTGCACACATCGTTGCAAGCTACCATAATCGATAAGATACAAAGCTATCAGTTGCGCAAGGCGGCCATGAGCGATGGTAGTACCAGCAGTAGCAGCAGCAGCAGCTATAGCGCCAGCAATTCCATGTTATCATATAGCCCTTATGGCCAACTGCCACCCGAGTTCGATGAGGACAAGCCAAGGAAGCGCGGACGCAAACGTCAGACCGAGCTGAACAAGAACGAGACTGTGGCAAATAAAATAATTAAGCAGGAGCGTGCCCAAGGGGAGCAACAGAAACTGTATCTGTCTAAAGCAGAAGTATTTTCTAAACAGGATGATTGCAATGGTTTTGTGGCTGCGCTTAGGTAGCTTCATGCTTTAGTTTTAGTTTATAAGTTTGATAGGAGCTTGCCGCCAACTGTTGCAATTAATGGCCACGTTTTCATTCATAGATCTGAGGGTGAGGAAAGCGGCCATGACTACGAGTCCTGCGAGCAGGTCAGCGAGGAAGAAGTGCGCTTTGAGACCTCTGATGACTGGCAGAGTGTCATCAAGTAAGTATTTCTCAATTAAGTGCAACACGTCATGACGCTAGATGTAATGAGTGGAGACGTACAACCGTGATCCCTGTTATAAATGTTACTAAAAACTTCTATGCGTACCAACAAAACAACACTGTGTGCTCTCTACCTATGCACTTTCTTAATGATATGCAGGACCGTTTTCAGCACCGAGGAAGTGACCACCACCAAAAATAATGCTAGTGCTTCCAATTGTGATCCAGTCTCCACGCAGATTAAGAGTGAGAGTAAGTAAATGTCTATCAATATATCAAAATTTATAGATTTCACGCCGCTTCTAAAATTATAGGCACTCAGCAACTACTGGATCATATGTTAGGCGCCGAGGCAACTATTGTGACGAGTTCGAATGCAGATGATGGCGTTGCATGTGCTCCAGAGCAGGAAGAAAATGCTACCATAACAGATAATGTTAATACACAAATTGAAGCGCAAACACCTCCACGTCAAGGTGCAGTAATATTGAATTAGATTAGATAGATGCGTTGCATATAACATTATATTACTTCCAGCTTTAAGTCGTGAGGAACGCGATAAATATAAATGTCTTTATTATCTTGTGGAAACTGCTATGGCTGTGCGTCAGAGCGACAGCGGCCAAGATGAAGAACTTGCCTACATGGGGAACTATCTGAATAACTAACCTCTTAATCAAAGATTTACTGTACATATTTATCAAGTATTTGATTTAAATTCAAGCGTCTGCTTGCGCTTGTTAAACTTATTGAAGCGCGTAAGCGATTTTCTAATTGCTTACGTATCGTTTGCAGAGACACTTCACAAATACATATTGAAAAAAAATCTTGTTTTTAATCCTAGGTGACAGGGTTCAACATAAACAATTTGTTGAATTTGACGGACAATCTGCCCATGCAATTAAATGTATAAAATTAACATACCTTAGATTTGTTTTTGTGGCAGCAAGCGATGGAGGTGGCGCGACAGGTCAAGTTGCGACGGCCAATGGTTGAACGTATTGTAATTCGCAAAGGAAACGTTTGCTGCCTCGTGGTTTTGTGCGTTTTGCGAGACTTGCAGCATTACATATTACATTCACATTTTGATATATTTATATTTGCACAAAATTCCACTTATTAATGTTTGCCCGAAAAGTAACGGTTAATCGCTCGACGCAGTTGTGGCACGATAGGTTAAAATTGCGAAGGCAGTTTAATTCACAACGAACACGTTTGCTGCTTAATGGTTGTGCGCCTTTTGAGACTTACAGCATTACAATTACTCATTCATATTTTAATATATTTACACAAATTGCACTGCTTAAATTTTGCCCGGAAACTAACGGTTAATGTAGCGACGCACCGACTAAACGCGATACCAAGAGTTTCGATATGTAGCATTCGTGATTGTCAGTATCTTTAGATTGCTGTTGAACGGCCACACTGCAAATACCGAATGTTACAATTTAGGATTTAAATGGTTTTGGGTGACCACAGCTATTGTACAGCTATTAGTGTTGGTAAAAATGAGCTACGAGCAGACGAAGTGGAATTTGTGTAAATAATAATATATTAAAATGTGAATGTGTAATATGTAATGCTGTAAGTCTCGCAAAACGCACAAAACCACGAAGCAGCAAACGTTTCCTTTGTGAATTAAACTACGTTCAACCATTGGCCGTCGCACTTTTAACCTGTCGCGCCGCCTCCACCGCTTGCTGCCACAAAAGCAAATCTTGCGCTTTTGAGATAGCGGCTTTGTTGAAGCGGAGACAGGTGGCACAGAGCATATTCAGGACATGCAAAGAGCATTTCACATTGCGGTGTGGGTCAGTATCTAAATTGTGTACTTTATTCTCGTCTGTAAGTTAATTGTGTACTTTGGTCGTCTTCGCATCATTTCGCTTCGGCTATTAGGAATATTACTTTCAGTTTTCGTTTGCGTTTCTTTGTGTCAGTACTTGCGTCACCAAAGCTGTAGTTGTCGTACTTGCATATGAATATATGTGTATATATGTATGAACATTCACTCAACATTTTGTTGTTGCTGGCGCTCCGAGTCTCAGAAAGGTTTTTGTTTTCCACTCTGATAATCGAATAAGTGAAAATTTTCATACTAGTTTCTTTCGGCTGTGCCCCTTATCCGGTAATTTTATTAAAATTCATGTCATAATTTATGTTGTCGGTTTATTTCAGAATGACATCTAATATGAATATTACATGAAAAAATGATATAAACACATTTCACATTATAAAGTATATGCGTATATGATTTGTAGATTCGCACTTAATAAATTAAAATGTTCTCTCTTATTTTCACTCAGCTGCTCACATAATTTGGCGCTTTGCTTTTCTCCCATAAACCCCACTGGCTATTTTTAAGCACGTGCCGTTGACACTCAGACCTATTTTACTCAGGCTATAAACGTACCTTTAAACGTACACGTACAGCCAAGAGTAAATTAAATTTTAGCTCATAATTTGTTACAGTTGGAAAAAAATTACTACAAATAATAAGTAACACAGCCTGTGGAGCTGTGGCTGTTAAGAATGCGTCTTCATATATCACTCGATTCCAATTAAAAAATGGAAGCAACACCTCTCAGTACAATAATTAGAAGTCAACCCCAACAGCAAAGGGTCAAATGCTTGTCGATGGCGCTGCGCAGTTAGTTGCGCCTTCGCCTTCGTCTACATCAGAGCATCGTCCCATACCGTCACACTCAGCTCGTAATTTTTTATATAGAGGCCTCAGTCTACGCTCTATATTGTCTAGCTAGCGTATTAGCATCGCTGTCTCTCTAATTCTCGCTCTCTCTCTCTCTCTCTCTCTCTCTCTCTCTCTCTCTCTTTCTCTGACATAGTCTCTATTTGCTCAGCGGTGGCTGCCTGTTGGGATGCCGCACTTGTTGTGCCACCAACGCAACGCATCGTTTTCAGTTGTAATTATAAGCCACACGGGTTCCAACTGAATTTTGTGTGAATTTTAAACAAGTTTTTATTAGACATAGGCAACACTTTGCGGGATAAATATATATAAAACAAATTGAAATGTTGTGCATATCTTTAGCATGGCAATAAGCATTTGTTGTTGTAGCTCTTATGTCTACAAGTTTTCTGATCGAAATGCTGTTGCTCCGACGGTATGTGTTGCAGGTGTTAAACGATAAATTCTTAATTTATTATTGCTGTGCGGATTGTTAGGCATTATTAGACAACAACTTCAACTGGCATTGCGCATACGTTTCTATTTGGGTCACATACGCGCCATCTAGCCGGATTATCCCCCATCCGTCTTAAGCGGCCGCAATCTTAGCTATTGGGTCATGAGATCATAATGCGCACGATAAGCCACACTGCAAATTGAACAGCCTATATATGAGTTGGGTGGGGGCAATGCCTGTCTAGGCTAAAACTATTTTTAGTGTTTCGTGCACGAAGTGAGTAAGAAAAACTGAACTCTTGTTCTGGCTCTTGTTCTGATTCTGTTAAAAAATAAAAAAAAAAGACTATAATGGCGAATCCTTGGCGAAAGTGCATTTCGGAACATATTCGAGTGTATGCGGGTCGTAGGGTGCCAGTTAATGCATGCATAATTACATTTATTACATCTACATTACCTGGGCACAGCTGCTGCCTCCTGTCCGTCATCCTTTGCACGTGTGTCGACAATACAAGTTTTTGTTCCAAGCAAACCCTTTTTCCAGCAGCCGCCCATACATTCGAAATTGCCACAAATAATGAGAGCTTCTAACAAGTTGTTTGTTACCACTTTTGAGTATGTAACTTATTTGTTGGCTTCTCTCCAAGTTCTGTTGTCAAGCCTGGCTTCACATTACGGGCGATTTGTTTGCGGCCATATTTTCTTTATTGCCGTCATGGGACGAGCAAAACAAGGCAGAGACAACAACGCGTGTGTGTGGGTCGGAAGGTGGGTAGGTGTATGCCTCCTACCCCATCATATATAAGTCTTTTCACGAATAGGGGCCCTTTTCACGGTTAACGGTAATACTCTTGCCGCTTGTTAGGCGTCATGTCACTCTTGGCCTACTCAATCGTTATATTTAATGCGAAATCAATCAGATTAGCTTTGATGAGCGTAAAGGCAAAAGTATTACGGTTAAGGTTCCACAAAGTTTAGTGGTTCAGTGGGTTAAATTTGCTCAAGTACATTTTTATTGATATTTTTGTTTATAACTTGCTAGCAGCAAACCTTTTCATCTGAGATATGCATGCTTAGAACTAACAGCTAACATTAACAATACATTTGTGTGTGTTACAGAGGAACCTTAATGGTTTGCGGGCAGATACAAAAATCACGCAACCCGAGATCAAGATTGCTAAAGAACAGTTGGTAAAAATCAGGGAAATTACCTAATACTAAGAATACTCAAGGCATCGGCCAGAACAACACACAACGCCGAGGCCGATTTCTCTGCTCTTAACTGTCTTAAAAAATAAAGCACATATGTGATATATATCGTATTGTAAATTTTGAACTTATGCATGCCAAGAAACATTTGAGTTTCACACATAGCCGCTGGATTCAAGCTTTAGGGCGCCCTCGTATGTGGGTAGGCCAGATATGTCAATGATTTTGCTCATGTCCAGACTGACGATGCCGTTCTCATTGATATTGTCAATATCCAGGTTGGCGTCCAGGTTGTCGTTATCAGCACCCACAGCTACAGTTGCAGTCGCTGTTGCCACTTCTGCTGCTACTGACATCGCTTCTGCATTGTCATTTTCGTCTACGTCCCTATCAGTTGCTGGCGTTGCCTCAGTTGTGCTGTCCACCACATTTCCATTTGCTGCATCAGCATCAATTCGATTTGGAGCTTCTATGGCCGCTTGCTGCTGCTGTTGCTCAGCACTTGCGAAATTGTCATTGGCATCGTACTGTTCCGGGACACTCTCCACAGATGCCGTCAACGCCTCGTCTTCAGATGCGTAGCGAAACTTGCCGCACAATGGGCAGCCGCGTCTGTAGTGGCTGTGCTGCTGCTGATGATGTTGGCTGTACTGCAAGTAACGTCTCCCGAAACTATTCAGCCGCATGGCAGCCTGGGCATGTTTGCGTGCCTGGAGTGCTAGTGGTAACGGCAAAGGCAAAGGCGATGGCGATGGCGAAGGCATATATGTGTCCAGTTCCTGGCAATGGCCATTGCGCGCAACCACTGCCGCCGCGGCTGCGTTCCACATGTTTTCCACCTCGGCACGCTGCAGAGAGCAACAGGATTGAGCATTTAAAGTGCGCTGCAATTGCTTGTTAACCAAAAGTGCGCCAGCTCCGGCATTACTGCTGCAGCTGCTGCTCCCTGCCATGCCATCGGCGCTGCCATCGCCACTTGACACCCCTATTACTTGCTGCACGTTGCTTATATCGAGCGTAGAGCGATATCCAGGCGGCGGCGAGACTCGTTGCAAAAGTAGTTGCTGTTGCTGTAGCTGCAGTTGTTGCTCCTCCAGTTGTTGCTGTTGCTGTTGCAACAGCTGCTGCTCGTGCAAAACAACAGCGTCATAGGAAGGCGGCGGCTCATGATGCAAGGCCGGCAAGGTGGCTAGGCCGTCCGTTGAATCGCCCAAAAAGAGACCCGAAGTCTCATAGCACTGAAAACCAGAGAAAATGCTAGTTAGGTAAGTCAAGACGCGATTGTAGGCCCTTAGTTGTGCCTTTCTCAAAAATAATATTGCGAAGAAGGAAATAACCGCTGCACAAATTAAAAAGTTTAAATTGCACACACATCATAAATTTACTCATTTCGGTAACTCCGATATAACAGTTCTTCTCCAGTACCCCATTCTCATACTTCCGTTGACAACGTTAGGTGACATGAACAGAGTTAACGTTGATTTACGCTGCTGTCCACGATGGCGACTGCGTCTTTTCCCACAGGGCCAACAAACAACAATAAGCTCTGTGTTATTGTGCAAGTGGGATGAACTGCGACCCAACAACTTATTAAAGCCCATAGCAAAGTAGAGCATAATGTCCACTTCTAAAGGGCGCTTTCAGTATCGCCTAAGCTAGCCGTAATATTTGCGTCCTCTTGTTTTATTTATTTCTTTTCTTTTTGGTTGTACCTGGTAAATGCTTTTCGGTAGTATTCAAGCCCGAATCATGTTTTGAATATGGTGCAGAAGTTGAAGCGCTGCGGTTCAAAATTATGAACCAAGGTTGTTTTATGGAATGCCATTTCCAAGGCAATCAATTGGCCCCAAAAATACACAACCAAATAAAATATCGTGCTAAATTCGGGTTTTGAGGCTTGCAGCATTAAGCACAACATAAAACTTTATCTTATCTAAAAAGTTTTAAAATCAATCTCAGTATTAAAGGTATTTTATATTACCTGTTCAACACTATAAATTTCCATATTGGGATCATTCTCCAGCCATTGATGTTGTTGCTGCCTGTAGGCGGCCTCAGTACGCTTTTTGATATTGCGATGGCAACAATAGCAAACTACACATAAAACTGTCGTCACCAGGCACAGCATAGACCTACAAAACAATAATGAGATAGACATAAATATTTTTTGTTCTTAGTCAAATATAAAATACCCTTCATTGGCTTGAATAAAAGCCCTTGTACCTGAGATCTATAACCGTGAAGCGAGAGGACCCGAGAAATAAATGAATCAAGCAGAATATTTGGACAATATCTATAGCCATATCATTTGTTAAAATCTTTTGTCAAGAAGGACTGTATACTGTACATTTTTTCACAAGTACAATCTGATTACAAAGTCAGGAATTTCTGACGAAATTCGACTCTGATTTGGCCTATATTAATTCTGTTAACTAACTTAACGTAACAATTATACTTTAACAAAAACATGCATACATATATATGTGTTATTACATTTCGTAATCGTCCCGAAGAGCACGCAACCATATGGGTTTACAAATAGATAAAAAAATATCCCGAAAAGCAAATGTTTTTCAATACAGTGTTACTTGAGGCAAAAACAATTTTAATACCCTGAACCCATTAAAAATGGGTATAAGGGTATATTATATTTGTGCAAAATCCAAATGTATGTAACAGGCAAAAGGAAGCATCTCCGACCAAATAAAGTATATATATTCTTGATCAGCACCAATGGCCGAGTCGATCTAGCCATGTCAGTCTGTCTGTCCGTCCGCCCGTCCGTCCGTCCGTATGTATGAACGCAAGGATCTCAGAACCTATAAGGGCTAGAGACTTGAAATATTAGATGTAGATGCTCCTAGTTCCCGCGCAGATCGAGTTTGTTTCCGATAATCGATAACTTACTCCGTTTCCAAGCAATCGGTAAAAATCGATATCGATATCCTGTTTTTTTTGGGCAATTTTGGTAAATAATAAGGGCTAGAGTCACCAAACTTGACATATAGCTTCTAAAATAGAATATATATATGCATTTGATGATGGAAGAAGAGGGTTCAGGGTATCCCCTAGTCGTGAGCTCCCGATTAGAACCTCTTGTTTTTATTACTTTTGTAATTATAGCATGTTGTCGCAAATGTATTTAATTGGGAGAAGATCGGGAATAACGGAAAATCATTACGTATACGTAATTTGTTATCACAAAGTTCCTCATGCAACCTAGATAATACAAATATTAGTGGGGTTGTTGTAGGGTTGACTAGGGGTGACTAATCTGCTCCTCAAATCTGTGACACGTCACACAAATCAATGATGTCACTTAATCCACTTTAAATGCAACATAATGCGGTACTTGTCCTTTGTCCTCCGACTTGTTTTCAGCGCCTCCTGCCCCACACTGCCACGCCCTGGTTGCTTTGCTCATTTTCCGTTGCGGCTCACGCAATTCCTCGCATGTCAACAGTTCATTAATTGCCCCAAAAGCGTTCGATAACGTGGGGAGTAGCTAAAACTATCAGCGGCATGTGCAGCCTTTTCTTTATTTATATTTTGTTAAATTTCATTGACATGTAGACAATCGATAAAAATGTGGTTAAAATAAAGTTACGGTGTTCATGGCGCGTGTTGCTTGCAGACATGAACGTTTTTATCGGCACTTTAAACGTTTATTTTAACACCCATTTTTTTTGGGCACCCAATTCCAGTACTTACTGATCTGAGCTGGTGTTACAAAAAAAAGTAATTTAAATAGCTGACATTACAATTTTTTATCTGAAGAGGGAGAAAAGAAATGGGACCAATTATGAATATTGTTACTTTGTCATGTCAGAGTTAGGCAAAGGAACAGACATCCTAATATCTTCCTCTTCAGACTTGCATGAATTTTGTATGTTATTAATTTGCTGCTATCTCATAAATCATATGCATAACCATTTTGCAAATGATCTATGGAGCAGTAACAGTAGCAGCGTTGTGGGATGATGAAATATTATACACAAAAAAAGTATGAGGTAATGAACAATTATAAATATGAAAATACCCCATTTAATTTAATTCAGTAATGCGTATATTAGATAAAACAGTCCATAAAATTGCAGCTGGCGTGAGTAGAAGCTTAACTTTTTTTTTTTTAACTGCGTGTATCAGCGGACTTTTTATTTAATTGAAAGGCAAATATGCATTCTGCATTTAATTTGTATTGCTTACAAAAAAATATACTCGTCAACTTCACTAGTTGTTTTAAAGGAATTTGTTTCAACTTGATTTTAAAAACATAATAGTGGATTCCATAAAGTTAATTCAATATAGAAATTATTCCAAGTTTCATTAAATCTATCGCTGCCTCTAAGCTTCCCAGCGGTTATATTTTATTAATTTACAATTATGTGCTTGTCAGACTGTCATTTGCCAACTTTACGAACTTCAGCATATAAATGAATAATTGCAAGTGAATAGCTGGAATCGGAGAAGCCAGCCTGCCAGCATCACTCACCCGCCAAGCAGAAGATTCACGCTGCCATTGACAACGTGAGCGTAGGTCTGTGAGCTGCTGCCACCACTCGCCCCGTGACTGCTGCCGGAGCCGGCTGCGCCATTGAGCAGTGATATTCCACCGCCAATGCCACGCTGCTGATTATAGAGGCCCATGCCGCCATTGTAGTAGGTGGTTATGGAGGAGCTGCTGGCAAGCTCTTGGGAATGCTGCAGCTCTTCCTCGCTGCCGGATTGAGATGCTGGGCTTATTGCTGAGGCTGTTGCTGTCGTTGTCCTTGCTGTTGACATGACTGTTGCATTGTGTAGCTGCAGCTGCTGTGGTTGCTGCTGCTGACTTACCGCCGCGATTATTGCATAACGTTTCAAAGACATATCCCTTTTGGCTTAAAGTTAGACGATTGCATAACAATTAGCCAAGGCATATTATAGTGCCCATAACACAAATACACTGACGCACGCACACACAACACACCTGTACAGTTCTTTAATTGACGCACGCAGTGCGCAGCACATCAGTATAACCGTTGCCACGCGCTGCAAGCTCTAGAGTAAACCAAGGACATCGGCCCTGCCTACTTAGTTCTAGCCTCGTGCACGTAATGTACGCCAGCCTGGCATGTGAACTAGAGAGGTGCGATCGATGGCCAAGGTAACTTGCCACCAACAATTTGTACAAGTGTTTCTATTTCTATATATTCGCTGATTATTTAGTAACTTTTTGTTGAGTGGTGCCGCGTCGCGTTCTGTTCGCGTCTTAGCGAATGCGTTGCGCTATTGCAACTGAGTCCCGGCTTGACTTGCTGACTAGCTGGCAGGCTGACTTGGCTTATCCTTTTGTTGTGTGTCACGACGAAGTTGTTAGGCAACCGAAAACGAATCAGCTTCGGCTGCTTGCTCGGCTAACAGCCGTTGCTGTTGCTGTTGCTTTTGCTGCTGCCGTTGCTGTTGCTGTCACTGTGCGCCTGTTACAATTTGTGCCGCCATTTTGCTCTTGCTTTTCAGGCTGCTTTCCCTTTTCAACAGCAATAATGGCAGCCAAGCACAGCTATTTGTATTGAGCTTCCTTTTTGTGTGACTGTTTTCGTCGTCTCCTTTTATGTGCATGTGTGCGGTTCCTGCACGTTTCACATCAAATTGAGCGCCAACTGCTTTTGTTGTATGCATGACTGTTGTTGTTTTTGTTGCTGTTGTTGTTGTGGCAACCGTGCATGCCATTTGAATAACACTTGTCGCCAACTGTCGTTTTTCGCGGCATGCGACCATAAATAATAACGCGACTCTAAGGCACAGTCGATGTACTGCATATTGAGTATGCGATGTGTGTGCACTTGGTCGTATGCGCAATATTTGTAAAGAAAAAATGTATACTTACACTAATTGTTAATTTTATTTGACTATATTACTACAATAACTTTCATATTTAAATGTACATAATATACCATAAAACAGGTCAGGAACTAGGGCGCATTTATCAACGTCAATCTTCATAAGTATATTGCTTATGCGCCGCATGTGCGCACAATATTCTAATACTGTACTGTATCCTCGTCCAGCAGCTCAGAAACGCTGGCAGGTGGTTCAACAATTTATGTAAATACTTGCACGCCATTTTTGGGACCAGCTCAAAACCCACCTGCCAGCCAGCAAAAATCTTGAAAGGCTGAAAAATCCGTATGAGTCGTGTTCATAGTAGTTACTTACACCTCGAGAGTCGCGCGCGCTCCCGTTAGGAGCACGTCCAGTAGGACATTATTTGTGGCGGCCGTGAACAGTGCAAAGGATTCACACTTTTTGTTTCAACTTTTTAGTGCGGAATGCTTGATTTGCGTGGTTTATTTATAGTTTTGTGTGGCCTTCTAGAAAAACTTACTATTAAAATACATAAGAGCAGTAGCTGTAGTTGTGGCAACAGTCCTTCAACAGTTGGCAGAGGACAACACGACTCATTAGATTGTTCTGTGTATCGCTGTCACAGATGAGGCTCTCCTCCACAGACGAACCCCAAAACATATTGTTCTCTGCGATGATGGATAGTTTTCGGCGCTTTTGCTCATTAAGCTCTTCATTGCGCACGCGCTGCAGGTAAGCACAGGTCGCAGCCCGCGCTCAATTGTATGCTACGTTGTTGTGACTGGAACTGTGCCACAATTAGATTTATCTAATGAGCCACCTCTAAAAAGCTAGCAAACCTTATATTTCGGATGCATTAACTATGGGTGTATACTATGTATACTATCAAGAATAATGAAGATGACAGACAGAAGATGGCATAAAATATGCACTTTTTTATTTATGAATTTACTGTGCTGTGCAATAAAACGTTTTTTTATAAACCAGCAAGCACCGGTCTGAAATTGACAGGACAAATTGTAGACTATGTAGCACGTGCGAGGGCGTTTGACTTGCTATATTTTACTGTGCAAGTCAATGTTTCATATTCTCAAATGTTATTCAACTTATATTTAAGTAAGATACACACAAAGCTTGCAGCACAGGGTGCGCCAATTTGTTATAGGCTATATAGAGTCCAGAAACTACCTACAATATAAAAGTGTACCAGCAAAAAGCATTAGTCATCAGTCTGCAGACTTGACGTCGCAAGGTCTTGTCTTTTAACATGGGTGTGTTCGCATGGTTGTTTTATGTGTGCATTTGGGAGGCTTTAAAGTCGGACCCTTAGCATTGATGTTGCCTTTTTGCTAAATTGTAAATGGAAAATTGACAAACAATGGCGTAGGAGTAAAAGACTTGCTGAATATATAAATGTCTTGATATCCTCAGTGTAATTGTATTAAAGTATTGAAGCTCTTGGTTGAATATTCATTATATAGTATGATGTATGCTGCAGATTTACACTATTAATTAATTGTCATTTATACAACCAGAAAAGTACCCCTTATATGTACCCAACCTATCCGTGTGTGTATTAAATAAAAAGCAGGCGTTTTGTCATCGTTCGTTAGATTTGTTGAATTTCAATACCGTTCGGCATTCGTAAAACCATACATCAAGCCATGCAACAATGGTACAAAGTGTGCAAGTCGTAAGACTTTTGGGTATTTTATAACCAATTTACATTCCAATTATGTGCCGCACAAAAGAGTAAACACGAGATTCAAAGAGACTGAAAGCTAGCTTCAATTTCTTTCTATTGCGTGTCGGACGCTCTATGAAAGAAAAACTATTCGGCCATGAGTTTTTTGTGCCGTAAAATCCCAAACCAACAAGTTTCGTCCTGTTCCCTGCGCCTGGTAAGGAGCAATAGCAGCAGAGTGGGGTTCCTTCGATTTTTGTTGATGGTTAAGCCCAGTTCGCTTTAGTTTCATCATCCAAATTACAAACGTTAATTATTGTGCGATGGGGTCGTCCTTTTGCTGTCGCAGTTTCGGATGATAACGATGACAAGTAGTTTGTTAAGCCTGGCTTTTTTTTATACCCTGAACCCATTATAAATGGGTATAAGGGTATATTGTATTTGTGCGAAATCCAAATGTATGTAACAGGCAGAAGGAAGCATCTCCGACCGCATAAAGTATATATATTCTTGATCAGCATCAATAGCTGAGTCAATCTAGCCATGTCCGTCTGTCCGTCCGTCTGTATGTATGAACGCAAGGATTTCAGAACCTATAAGAGCTAGAGACTTGAAATTTTAGATGTAGGTGCTCCTAGTTCCCGCGCAGATCGAGTTTTTTTCCGATAATCAATAACTTACTCCGTTTCCAAACAATCGATAAAAATCGATATCGATATCCTGTTTTTTGGGCAATTTTGGTAAATAATAAGGGCTAGAGTCACCAAACTTGACATATAGCTTCTAAAATAGAATATACATTTGATGTTGGAAGAAGAGGGTTCAGGGTATCCCCTAGTCGGGAGGTCCCGACTGGAACCTCTTACTTGTTTGGTATTGTTTTCGTTTGCGTAACTATTTCATTGCTTCGAGCAAAATTTACCAATTTTGTGAATGTGTCACGAGTTCGGAGAGTCTAGTATTAATAAATTTTTTGTCAAAATGTTTTTACTAAGAGTCTTTCTTTTTTTGGGTACATAGCCTACGTTATCTCTTCAAGATGTCATTGGCCGTCTCGTTACGCCGTGCGTTGCTGGTGCTACTCTCAGGAGCCATATTCATACTGACAGTCTTGTATTGGAATCAGGGCGTGATCAAGACACAAGCCTACAGCGAAGCACAGCCGCGGCTACACGTTCAAAGGGATCGCAATATTGATCCCATGTAAGTATAGTATGCCAGTTATAAGACTTTTTTGTCAAAATGCTCTAACCACTTTCAGACCGTTGGAAAAGTCATGGACCTATAAATGCGACCATGATAGATGTGTACGCGTTAATTATCACAAGAACGAAGACAACGCTAAGCGTGTCTCCTTCATCAGCTGCTCAATGACTTGTGGAGATATCAATATTTGGCCACATCCCACTTCCAAGTCTCTGATCAGTGCTCACACACTGCGCTTCTCCGTGGAGGATGTACATCTGCGCTTAGATTCACCGCATCGCGACGTGCGCAAACAGCTTAAATTAGCTTTTGATTGGTTTATTAAGGAATTGCGACAAATACAGCGATTGGATTATGCATCGCATACAGATGAGATATCAATGGCAGCAGCATCAGTCAGCGAGCCCTCGTTCAGGTTGGGGCTACACAAGACAGACACAGACGTGGCAGAATCCCCACTGGCTGGATCGCTCTTTAGCGCCACTTTTGGATCACATCGCGCTGGCGATTTGGATAGTCTGCAGGTGAAGCTATCAGTGCATGGGTCAGATCAGCTAAACTTTAATCTGGACAATGACGAAAGTTATAAATTAAGCACAACTTGTAAGCAATTAAATCATTAACGACTCCTAACTCTTTCATTAACTCGTTCTCTTCTGGCAGATGAGCATCGGCGTATATTGGTGCACATTACAGCGCAAACATTTTTTGGTGCACGTCACGGACTGTCTACGCTACAGCAACTCATTTGGTATGACGATGAGGAGCGTCTGCTACGCACCTATGTTAGCTCGCTGATCAACGATGAGCCTAAGTTTCGATATCGCGGCCTAATGCTGGATACATCTCGGCATTTCTTCTCCGTGGATGCCATTAAACGCACTATTTCGGCGATGGGCCTGGCCAAGTTAAATCGCTTTCACTGGCATATAACAGATGCGCAAAGTTTCCCGTATATTTCACGAAACTATCCTGAACTGGCAGAGCACGGTGCCTACTCTGAGAGCGAAACATACAGTGAACAGGATGTGCGCGAGGTCACCGAGTTCGCCAAGATTTTTGGCGTACAAGTACTTTTGGAAGTCGATGCGCCTGCGCATGCAGGAAATGGCTGGGACTGGGGACCTAAGCGTGGCCTTGGCGAACTGTCGCTGTGCATCAATCAGCAGCCTTGGAGTTTTTACTGTGGCGAACCGCCTTGCGGTCAGCTGAATCCGAAGAATAACCACACCTACCTCATACTGCAGCGCCTGTACGAAGAGTTTCTGAAGCTGACAGGACCCACGGATATATTTCACCTAGGCGGTGATGAAGTGAATCTCGATTGCTGGGCGCAGTACTTCAATGACACGGATCTTCGCGGCCTGTGGTGCGACTTCATGCTACAATCTAATGCAAGGTAATGCTGCACACATTTTAAGACAAACTTTTTAAGCATGCTGTGACGTATTTTGGTACGCAGACTGAAGCTGGCCAATGGCAATGAAGCGCTCAGGCACGTTGTTGTCTGGTCCAGTGCGCTGACAAACACCAAGTGTCTTCCAAACAGTCAATTTGTGGTGCAGGTCTGGGGTGGGAGTACCTGGCAGGAAAACTACGACCTCCTGGACAATGGCTACAATGTTATATTTTCGCATGTGGATGCTTGGTATTTGGATTGTGGATTTGGCAGCTGGCGTGCAACAGGTGATGCCGCCTGTTCACCTTACCGCACTTGGCAGAATGTGTACAAGCATCGTCCTTGGGAGCGTATGCGACTGGATAATAAGCGGCGAAAACAGGTAAACTATAAATATAAATGTGTATGTTTATCAATTATGCTCTCAATTTGTAGAGCTAGAAAATAATTAAGGCCTTTTTAACAGGTGCTGGGAGGTGAGGCCTGCTTATGGACAGAACAAGTGGACGAAAATCAATTGGACAATCGATTGTGGCCTCGCGCGGCAGCGCTGGCCGAACGCCTGTGGTCAGATCCAAATGATGATCATGACTTTGACATTGTACCACCAGAAGTATTTCGACGAATCTCATTGTTTAGAAATCGCCTGGTAGAGTTGGGCATCAAAGCCGAGGCGCTGTTTCCCAAGTACTGTGTACAGAATCCCGGCGAGTGCATTTGATATTATCTATAAGACAAGAGGCGCAACTCCCGCCCCCACTCTGTGCGTTAATTAGTTAATAGTGTAATTGTTATTTTTTATTATCACAATACATATTAAGCGTTAAGCGTCCACTAAACCAATGCAAAAGAAAGCGAAATAAGCTAACGAGGCGACTTTTTCAAAGACATTTTGCGACCAAGTGGTTTCCGGCAGATCAGCCATGCGTAATCACGAATTTCATTTTTTAATTTTAATTTAATTTTTATTTAATTATCTCAAACATACGCACACACATAAAACACATACGTAAATACCCAAACAATAACATAACTAGCATTTAGGCGATTGAGGATGTATTTAGTAAGAGTGACAGTGATAGTTTTAGGTAATATAGGAAATTTATAGATTTCATATACTCACATGCACACAACAGGTAAATACTTTGTAAGGCATACTTAGTTTAGAGAATTAAGGACAAGATAAACATGAGCATATAGGATGTACTTTTGATAATTTTAAAGCTTTATTCAAACAAAAACAAGATATTGTTTAGTATACATACAAGAATAGATTGTATGACAGCAAATTGTTTTGTGTTTCGTTTTGTATTAGGATTATTTTAAATTACATTATCAGTGATACAAACAATGTGACCTTATAAAAAAATAAATAAATAGGAAGCAAACAAAAAACAAATGAAAATTTAAAAAATACAAAAAACTAGGGTTAATATACATATATGTAATCGTAACAACAAATTTTGCACACATTGGCACGTAATTGACAAAAACTAGAAAACTTATAGCTAATTTTTTAATAATAATTATAGTAAAGCTGTCCACTGTGCAACTAATGAACAACTCGATCACAATATTCGGTACACCTTACACGACTCTATGTGAAATATTTGTAATGCCTGTTTTTAAAGCTGCACTGTGAACAAGTCTAATCTTAATTGACCCAAAAAATTATGTTTAATATTATTTTGTACTTAAGAGAGATTTTGCAACTAAATAACAAAAATACGTTAGTTTTAAACCTTTTCAACAAAAATAAACTTCAAGTCAAGGCACGCAAACTTTTTTTTCGTATTTAAAAAAAAAAATGCATGTTTCAAAGTTGGCAAATGAAGTGTTATAATATCCTAATCGAGTTTTAAAATTGTTGTATTATAAATCACAAAAAACTATTTCATTGGTTATCGTAACATGAGAACAATTGTAGGTGTGTGTTGGTATATTTTGTTACGTACATATATATATCAATATCAGTTTTGTCTAAACAAAATCGGTAAGATCAATGCTGTGACAGCGTTTTAACGAGCCAACACGTGTGTGCAGCGACGGCCGCAAACAGATTACACACTCCTCGGTGCTGTAAGAGATCGAGATGAAATTGAGAAAATTGATTTAAATAAATAAATCCGTGTGTAATTATTTACAAAAGGTAATACTTTAATATTTTGCTCAATACAATACTTACAAACAAATAAACATACATACATATACATTAATATTATTTATAAAACAGAAATCTCAATGGCGTATACATGCTGTTCGGTACAAATATATTGATCATTCAAAATGTCCGGCGGGCACAGGACTTGACGAAGTCAGTCTACAATAATGATAAAAGTGGAAAAGTAATAAATAAATAAAATTAAAACCACAAATCAGAATATCAAAGAAAAACCCGTAAAATATCAGAATATCAAACATTACATATTTATTCATGCAGTTCTTAGTAGAATTAGTTTAAACGAAAGGTGAGAAAGGCGAGGGATGCTACTACAAGGAGGGAGCATAGCGTATACGCACCGTAGACTTTCAGTACGCGAGCGCTGCGAGTAGTCTTTCGATGTGCGATGTCTGAAATGGAAATTAATTTGGTTAAGAGACAACAGCGAACTACAGCAAAAAATGTAATGCACTGCGTAAAACATATAACATATCACAGCAACAACACCCCAAATTAAATGCTTCAATGTATATATGAATTTATGTATTAATACCCATTTAAAAAGAATTTCAGCTTGTTGACGCACCTACGATTCTTAAGGGAGCTGCTGCGATGAATATTTCGACTCTCACGCCATCTTATGAAGCGATGCCGCAGCGTCTGGCGCACCTCCGAGTTCAGAAAGCAATAGAACAGAGCCACAAAGAAACCCTAATGATAAACACAGATCTTAGGAGAAATGTTGGTTACACCTGGTGGGTTCCTTATTCATTTACCTGTGTACTGAGTAAAAAGGCTCGCATTGCCTCAAAGAGATTACGGCTGATGCCCTGTTCGGGTCCAGTTAGCACTAGCAAATAAGTAATACCAAAGAGCGGTATTAACACAAGAAGAGCCTTGGAGGCCTTATAATACTGTCGCGTTTCCAATGTGTGCGCTGAACGCAATTTGGTGATTAGAACCTATATAATAGAAAGTTTGAATGGATAAAAAGAAGCCTAAACCTCCAAATGCTTAAACACTTACCCACATAATGCGTATAAGAAATACTAAATTAATTAGAATCGCCAATGAGGCCGGCCCCTTGAATATCCAATCAATATGAGATTCACGCATCCAGGTACATTCAATTTCCAGCTACATTAATTATTAAGTTATCAACAATTGCAAAGGCCAAACTGATGACGCACTTACACCATTGAAATGCTCGTTCTCCAGATGCGATGCAAATGCCTTGGCAATGGACCAAAACAAAATGCAGAGCGCTGGACAGCCCCAGCCAATTAATGCATAGATAACAAAGCTTATGTTCTCGCTAGAGAACGTTTGCACGACCAAGGTGTAGAGATAGAGACCTGAAAATAATTATTTTAAAATTGATATATGGCTTATATTTAAGATAACAGATATTAAGCTTACCTTCAACAAACATCCAGAAGAAATTAGTCAGGTAAAAGTATTGAAACATAATGACCAGCGTTATGCAGCCAGCCTGACTAGATTCAGTTGTTATCTGTGATGCAATTAGAAACCAAATGAGATTATGCCAAAATTATTTATAGGAAGATTTACTGACCACTTGCAGGAAGAGTGTTAAGATCCACAGAAGCGCTGAGGTGATGTATGTTAGAAATAGATTCGAATGTATTGTATTTCTTAGGCAGCGCAAATCTCTGCACCAAAGACAAATGAATAGAATATTTTTGACCAGTTCATAAAACTCACTTAAAGCTTAGGAATATTATAAGCGCCACCACCAGAGTTGCAAAACTTATGAAATAACCGCCAGCATATATAATGGCCGGCAGATCCACGCTGGCTGAGAAGTCTGGAACAACAGGCACCGAGCCCGATTGCTGATGGCAACTGCTATAATTGGAATAATGATTCCACGTACCGTTCGCATGACAAAAGCGCGTTGCATTCTCTGTAAACGGGAAAGGGCATAGAGTCCAGTCTTTTATTTCATAATCCCATGCTCACCTGTTGTGTCGTAGTGGACACCCTTGAACTCCTCGAAGCAGGGTAAAATAGCCCAGGTACTAGCGCTGGTGCGAGGCCAACAGAGCACCGAATCGAAGGAGGTGGGACAATACAAGATCTGCGACCGGCATAATCACAGGATACAAATTTTAGTGAACTCATACAAAAATAAATACGTATACGCGACTATAGAAAAATATAAACAAAATGCTGGACGAGTAGTTTTTTGATTGCCTGCCATTAATAATAAATAGTCAAACATTGATATTAACTATATATATGACGGAATATTTGTTTATCAACTTAAAAAACAGAATTAAAATATTACAAAAATTGTGTGCATCATCAACAGCAACAACGTTTTGATTAAAATTGAAATTGGCCTTATCAGGCACGTCAGTTAGCTTTTGCTGATGTCACACTCTGTTTTGATTCGATTAAAAAAGAAATGTTTCGATTCTCCGTACCATTAGGTCGTTGTGGTATTTAAAATTAAGCAACAAAAAATCCTAGTCAACGTTTTAAGTAACTCAACTCACCGGCTTGTCAGCTGATGCTTTGCTACTGCTATATTGGACTATCTCCGTGTGGCTTAAATGCGGGCTTGAGTATAGGGCATCCTGCTGCTCAGCCTGTTGCTTGCACTGGTCCTCCAGGGTGCGGTTTATGAGTAGATCACCGCTGTGCGGCTGTTGGGTGCCAATTAGCGCGCTGGCTCTCTGCAGCATCTCTAGCGAGAAGTTGGCAATGGCATTGGCAATGTTATCCGCTGAGGCGTCATCGAGCCGTTCCACGAGTGCTTGCAACTCGTCCTCGGCCATAGCGCTTGCCACAAAATTAAGTTACCAAGAATGTGGCTAACTGCTTGGTAATTGGTTATTGTGTATTTTCAGCCTTCAATCAGCTAACGTATTGAAGTACACTGTTGCACTGCTCTGATGCACATCTGTTACCGTCTGCCGTCTATCTATAGCCAGATGAAAGTGCCAACCATACGACGAACTTTTTATAACTATCGCTATATTGTTTGTTCCTGATGGTGAACATGCCAGCAGGACGTCATTTGTGTGTGTCTATGTGAGTGTGGACAGGGGACGGCGGGTGCTGAACTCGGGGCACACTTTCGTATTCGTGCTACACGCTGCGCTGCGCAATTAAACGGTTCACTTTAGACAGAAATTGCGCAAATATGTTGATGAGCTGGAAAGTGAAAAAACTTCTGGGTGATATCTGCTTAACTGATAAAATCAAGTACTCGACTTATTCACGCACTATTCAAGCTCCCACTCGAGAGATTTGCAAGGCCCCCTCCAAGAGGCACACATATAAGCATATTTTTATATGTATACTGCACACACATCTAGATAGATATGCCGCTGAGTTGTGCTATTTGATTTGTATATATGGTACATATATATAGAACTTATAAAAATCTGTACAAATAATACACGCTTAAATCACGTGGCGTTGTCTGTATGTGCAGATAATATGCAGATAAATAAACAACAATCTTTATGGCCTCTACACTTTGGGGCGGGGCTACTGTGACTACCATACCCTCCGATTACATAGGGAATATCTCTAATTGTATACCTTTTCAGTAACATGTATGTATACCCAGTGTTAACATGACAGTTAGAAACCATAGAATACCTGACCAGCATTACAAATTCTGATGACAATTAGTTGTTAGTGAAAACTGGTTGCTCTCGTCGGCGTTTTTTGCCTCTTATTAACACATTTGAGATAATCTATCCTTCGTTTATATTATCTGCAAATTGTGCTACTAATTAAACGTTATATTATTACATTCGTGTCGTTCGCGAGCTATACGAATCTAGCTTGTTTTGGGAACTTATTCACATTTAACTGAATCCTGAAATGGCATTTAATTGTTGTAAGTGGGCTAAAATCCAAGCTGATACACATTTCAAATATTGTCATAACGAAAATTTACCCATTTCCCAACGAATAGGTGGCAGGCAAGTTTGGGGATATGCTGGACATCTCTATAATGTTTGCGTTGCTGTCCTCGACGAGGAAATTACCGAACGAAGCATGTTAATTACCTAATACCCAAGTCAGTGAACTACAAAAAAGATATATATATTAAAAATACATTTTAAGAAATACACAAATAATATATGTGAATATATTTAGTTGGCAGAGGGGCCAGTGCAATAGCCGCAGTCGTCTATTAACTTTGATCTTGGCCACATTGACAGACTAAGGCCAAAAATTGCAAACAAATTATTTAACTTGGTAGTCATGCATTTCCGGAGAGCCAATAGTGCAGAACCAGGTCCCCTCTGGGTTAATACGCCAACGGGGTAACCAATCGGACAAGTGCCACTAAGTGGCGCATGCCGTGCTCAAATATTTGGCGAGCTGCGATTTATTTATGATGCTAAGGGCAAACAAGCGCAATATTTGTACGGGTGCGTTAGATTATGATTTTTATTTTGTTGGTTAATAAGCCTTGTGGTAACCATTCCATTAAAGCAGCTAATTTGGCTGCTAATGCGCACAATTAACAGCTAAAGCTAAATGCAAATAAACAGGCATCGCAGCTGCCTTCAATGTAAATAGAGCAAATATTCTCCTGATGGCTGCAACGACTCAGATGCGTTATAATATTATTATTTATAATATTTACCAGGCTGCTGGATGCGATCTTTAAATGATTCATAAAGTGTCAAAACAAATGAAAATAATAGGTAGGTAGACCTTTAATTGGCATTTCACACATATGGGACCATATAACTATATAGTACGGGGGTATTATGATAAAGAAAACGTCAACTCGCTGCTATCATGAGACCCAATCAATTATATGTCTTTTTGAGGCTATTATCGGCCTATGAGCTGCTTATTGGACATGCCATATGCTGTATGACAGTTCCAGCGTGATAAAAACCACGTAAAAACTAAAAGGTCACACAGCAAATTTTATGAATGAATAAAACAAAGTGAAACCAATTGGAATTGGAGCTGGAGACGTCGTCCGTACGGGCGCAAATCAACACCAGATGCAGTCAGGCGAGTTGATCGATATTTATGGATGCCGGAAAGCAAATAAATAGCTTGTTTGCGCGCTGGACAGTCGCCTGTCCAGCTGCTCGACTGCCTGCCCGCAGTCCCCGTGGCCAATTGGCTCGGTAGAGTCGACACACAAAAGGCAAACAAATTAAAGCCAAACCAAACAAACATACATTTAGTATTCATGTGCATGTGGTTATATAGCCATAAGTTTACAAACTAAAGGAAAAATGTTAAGACTCAATAATTGATGCCGACGCGGCGTATGTGCGATTGCCCTCATCAAAACCAGCAGCAGCAGCTGCATTAAGTATACGTAGAGATCTCAACTTTTCATCAGTCTTAATTTTATATGCAATGGCATAGCAAATATTTAAACACGATTTAAACTTCAAACAAGTTGCGTTAAGTGGGGTAAGGGCTGCTTGGGGTGGCCCTGTGTAAAGTTGTTTTATCTGAAACAGAAAGTGGGCAAAGCAAAAATTTAATTTGCAGTTAATATATAAATTTCAAAAGAAGCTGCAGGCATGTTTATTGCCTTTTGGCTGAATATGCACGTATCCAAGCCGAAGCCAGAAAAGAGCCCATAAACAATATGTAATTTCTTAAACAAATTCATGAGTTTATATATACGTTTGTTTTATCTCTGATTTAATATCTATATGCATGTGTAAATACGTGGCCTGCAATCTTTTACAGCCACAGCAACGACTCCTATTTCACCTAATAACAATGACGCAGCTTTTGGAGTACTATTGAAATCAATTAGCGTAATGTGGGTGTGGCATGAAAATACTGCCTTTAGAGCTAAGTTCAGCTACTGCATATTATTATTATTTGCACTGACTGCTCTTCAGAACAAAGTGGATCTCAGCTAACGCAGTCTGGAACTGATTTCCACTCGCACTCAGAAATCCATTTGGCTATCTTATTGAGCTGCTTCCCTTGCCACTTAAGTGTAATTAAAATTTTCTATTTACCTAACAATTCAAATTCTAGAGCTTTAAACAATAAGATGGTGCTACATTTCTTAAATACCCTATTCAAAAGAGAAATTTCGTTTACAACGCATAAAATGCATGCATGTTTTAGAGGATCTAAATTATTCCTGCCACGGTATCCAGTTTGAGCGAAATTTTGTTATTTTTAGCTATGTTTGGTAACGTTTACTTGTTAATTTAATTCAGATGCCAAAATGTGTGAATTTTCGAGTCTAGAGGGCTTTTAGTGAAAAATATATGGAAAGTATGTTCTTTAGAGGGATATAATAAAATACATTCAAACATTTCATAGAGATTTCCACACCGACTCAGTGCTAACAGGGTAACTCACAGTTGATTTACCTTACCCTTTTAGATTTGTTGTTCTTGGCTGCTCTTTTAATTTTAAATATCGTTGTTGGTGTTTTGTCTACTTGTGTTGTTAATGTTTCTACTCTTTCTATTTCTTATTTAATATTTATTTTCAGCACTGGAGGCAAATGAACGCACTGCAAAATGTTACAATGTTTATCTTTGGTCAACAGAAATAATAAAAAATATAAAAAGCCAGTGCAATCAAGCACGTAGGAGGGCCTCTACTATATATTTGAATATATATTATATACTACATATGTATATATTAGCATAAAATTATTGAATATGTATTGATGATTCAGGTTGCAAAATGTTACCTCATAGATATATTTTTTAATGATATGTGCAGAACCTGCCTAACCGGACATTTTAGGTTCTTCTTCAAAGACAGACCTGCTATCCAAATTACATGGGAGAAACGAATCAGAGGCGTAAGAAATAGCATTTGAAGAATTTGGGCAGTATTCAAAAAGCTTCAATTTGTTTTGCTCGTGTACTTTCAAATTGTTTATGTGATGCGTCTAATCAGACGTTTATTCTTCAATTTAAAAGTCTCATTGTGTACCAATGGGGCGCGAGCTACTAAGTGATCAACAGCCTGCCTGGGGTCTCGACCTCACTTGGTTAAGAAAAGATCATTTTTATAGCTTGTTTATTATCCCAATGTGCTAATGCTGAGTGTATTCACAATTAAGGCTATTCTGTTTTTTTATAATTCAAGTGTGAAATCAGTCGCATAGTCCCATACTGAAAAGTCAGAAGTCAGAATCATGTCATGGGTGGAACAAATGTTTAATTTACCGTCTCACCCACATCTACTCACTTGCTCACATGGCCGAATGTCAGTGCTGTCAGCTTTAAATGTTTATCGCCTTTATCATTTTATTACTTAACTCACATATACACATATGTACATTTACTCAAAACTCACGCGTTGCTACTGAACACATTCAACTTTTGATCGCACGCAAACATACAATATTTTTTATTACAGATAGCAAAACTTGAAATGTGAATATTATTTGCGTATTCAAATACAACTTAAATTCAATCTCATAGCATCATCTCTGAAATTTTACAATAGATCCGGATGTAATAAAAAGTTGTGAGATTAATATAGTAGTAACAGCCACTGTGTTTTTGTTTTGGGTTTTGTGAATCCGTTTGCGAATATATTTTTATAAAGTTTTCGGAGGCTGCGACGAAATTCACTATCAAGATAATAAATTCAACCGACAATGTCGTACAAAGCTCACGTCTAATAACGGCAACTGGCAGCGATGAACTGCTGGCGTGAGCTTTCGCAGAGCGTTGTCTTGCTTTCGGTGCGGGAGCAAACCCCACACAAACACACGAGCACAGTTGCTCTGACGACGCCCACAAGCAACACAGGATACGTTGGACGACGCTCGCAACAAGTTGTGGCTATGGCAACCCGATTAGGTGTGTGAGTGTGTAAGTGTGTGTGTTCGAGCTGCAGAAAGCTAGAAAGCTTTCGCTTAGCTGAGACCGGCATTTTTCATACACTCTCCCTAATATAACAAGTGAGTATATTGGCTTGTGGCCGTCTCTTTTCTAAAAAATTCAATCTTTGGCTACTATTTATGACATAACAAAATTCTTATATATACCTGCTCCTACATACCCCACTTATTAAAACTGTTAAGATTTAATAACAGACCCACTAAGGCTATCGTACAGGTACGTACCACTAAGAACAGAGTATCTCACACACTGTTACTTTTCGGTGCAATTTTCTGAGTAGTTTGTTTCAGCATTTGCATTCAATTGGCCTTGAATATGACGATGTCGTTGTCAATGCCTTAATCTGATAACTGCAATTGACAATCAAACTGAATGGGCCGTTACATACTTTTTGTCGTTTACTTATTACTACGACAACTTATAAGCGCCCTGTGCTAAAACCGTAACAACGCGCATATTTTATTGTTGAACTATAATGTTTACGTTATTATTTAAGATATGTCGTTTGAAGTCGTCATTGGTATGAACATGGATTCTTCTGGTCGGACTATATTTGCCCAAGATTAAAAAAAACGCATTAGCTTTTTACAAATTGCAAATTGCTATAATGAATATATTAAATCGAATGTATTAAGTACGATTTTAAAGGAGTATTTATTTCAAGCTCGTGGAAGTTCAACCTAATTGCAATATTATTCTTGTTAAAAATTCATGTCGAAATGCTATTCTTAATTATCTTATATAAACATAGGACAACATTTCCACCCCCATAGCTCGATCAAAACTCAGCCGATTTTCATAAGGTGTCCATTTTGTCCATGGTTTGGCCTCTAGATCAATTCTGCATCTAAATCTGGCAACACTATTTTTAGTCAAAATTCACGTGCAAATTGTAGTCACAAATATCCGATATAGAAATAGGTCAACATTTTCCACCCTCATAACTCGGTCAAAACTCAACCGATTTTCATAAAGTTTGGCTTTTTGTTCATGGTTTGGCCTCTAGATAAATTCTGCATCTTAATCTGGCAACACAATTTTTAGTCAAAATTCATGTGAATATTATACCCTCAAATATCCTATATAGACAAAGGTCAACATTTCCCACCCACATAACTCGGTCAAAACTCAACCGATTTTCAGAAGGTTTGGCTTTTTGTTGATGGTTTGGCCTCTAGATAAATTCTGCATCTTAATCTGGAAACACAATTTTTAGTCAAAATTCTTGTGAAAATTGTACCCTCAAATATCCTATATAGACAAAGGTCAACATTTCCCACCCTCATAACTCGGTCAAAATTCAACCGATTTTCATAAGGTTTGGCTTTTTGTTCATGGTTTGGCCTCTAGATCAATTCTGCATCTAAATCTGGCAACACTATTTTTAGTCAAAATTCACGTGCAAATTGTGGTCACAAATATCCGATATAGAAATAGGTGAAAGTTTCCCACATGTATGTATGTATGTTTGTATTTGTGTGCGGTCGTGTGTGTGCTAGTATATGCATGCATGTTTGTATGTATTTATGTATATATGTTTGCGTGCATGTTTATTTTCTAATACCAAACGCAGACAAAGTCCCTGTGCTGCAAATTTAAATAAAACGAATTTCTATTAAGAGCTCTCCTCCTCGATTCTCAAAAATTCATGTAGGCTCTGCTGAAATTCAACAATACAGGAAACGTTGGCGCCAGCGGCCGGTGGAGGAGCAGAGGGCGGTGGTGTGGGTAAGTAGATTAGTAGTCATATATGTATGTAGATGTAACTATGTATGGATGTATGTATGTATGCATGTGTGTGTGTGTGTGTGCGCGTGTGTGTGTGTGTGTGTGTGTGTGTGTGTGTGTGTGTGTGTGTGTGTGTGTGTGTGTGTGTGTGTGTGTGCGTGTGTGCGTGTGCGCGTGTATGCATGTATGTATGAGGAATGCATATTGAGTATGCGACGGCTGAAACAATGGAGGAAGTGGCGGCTTTAATATTGGAGGAGGCGGTGGCATGAGCTTGACGGTGGAGCCAGCATACATTTTAAATGTAGCCATTAAAAAAAATTGGTACGTATTATCATGTAAGCCCATGTCTTATTATTTTTTAAATAGAAGTAACAAATATGATAATCGTTTTTCAATACACACATGTTTGCATGTTGTGTGTATATTGAGCTGAGTTGAAAAATTATTAATATTTTGTTTATATGTATAAGTCGAATAAACCTAAGATAAACGTAAAACATCTAGTTGAGTTTAGCCTGAAAAAGCGCACCCTTAAGGCTTGAACTCGTTTTTTTATACACCTTTATATATATTTTCCAAGTGGACTATACATTTAAATGCTTGCTGGGCGCCACATTTCACAGCTGCTCAAAGGTGACTGTTGCCGACATCTGAAATCAATAGAAAATTGATGCAAATTTTTTTCAGCTTCGTTGACTCGCACATCGTCCATGTCATGCCCAATGGCTGGTGGCAATCGGCCACAAAAAAACTGCGCAAAGTTCAAATGGAACAGCTGTGGAGCCGGAAACTCCTTCTCAAATGCATACGGCTGATACTCAAACCGCTGCGAGTCATGGCCCATGCCAAAGAACGTATCATATGCCAGTTGCAGGCCGTTTAAATCCGCTAGACGCTCCCTCAGAGATTTTGTTGGCGTCTGCAGGACACACTGTAGGGCATTTTCAAATTTTGAATTTTGGCGTATGTGCAAACCCAGTGGAGACTCGTTGCCGGCGAAATCGAAGAGTATGCCGTCCTGCTCAAAGGCGTGACTCAGCTCGTGTGCTAGAATAAACCCCATCAGACTGTGTTGAAAAATTGAATGTTGCCGATGATCGTAAAACGGCCACTGCAAAAAGATCAAAGGCACCGTCAGCGTATTGCGTTCATGCTCAAAGTAGGGTGCATTGCGTGCTCTGAAAACATCGTCGTTGACATAGTAGTGATTCAGTTGCAAAGTAGCTTCAGGCTGCAGCAAAGGCGCATGCTGCAGACGCGTTCGCAGACGCAAAGCCTGCCATAGATTTTGCTGAAAGTCGGAACGTGAAAATCTGGCACTGGCATAATGGCTATCGAAGAAATCCTCTGTCGTTGAAGCATCCGGTAAATTACCCAGTTTCAGCTGCATGACAGCAAGTTTGGCATGCAAATATTGTAGCTGCTGTGGACTCAACTGCAATCGATTCCAATCCAAGTACTTGCCAAACATACCACGTAATCTGTCAAAAATAGTTTGCAGCTTCCCCGTGTCCTGTGACCGGGTCCTGTATACGTATCGATCGTAGATGTAGTTCATACCCAGCGGCAGTAGGGCGCGCATATGATGTATGCAACTATGAACTCTTGGAGCATGCCCCGAACTGGGATTGACTTCTCTTGCAAAATTGGCAAACTGCACACGTAGATATAGTTCCAAGCTAGTTTTGTTGCAGCGCCGCAGCAGCTCGCCCAAGGCTCGTAAGTACTCCACATCACTGACCTCTACACGAAGCTCGGTATCACTTGGCTCCACTTCGAGCAGTTCTCTAAAGTATATTTGCCAGTCGATTTGAGGTATTTCCTGCTTGAGTCTGCCCAGCGTCCAGGATTGCAATAGCGGCTCGTCTCTGCGATATTTCTCGTACAATGCACGTAGATCTCTTTCCAATTGTTGAATCTCAGGCTTAAAAAGCAATATGGGCTGAAAGATACGGGGTAAGGCATAATTATTATTTGGTATTGGGACAAACATTGAATTTTTATTAAATAATTTTTTTATTAACTTACCATATAACTGCTTTGACCGGCTGGCATTTTCAGCTGTACTACAAAACGTAGCGAATCGTTGTAGGCCACATCCGCCGTCTCCTCGAAAAAAACACCATTCAAACCATATTTGCGTATCCTTGCCGTTGCTCGTATCCATTCGAAGTAGTAGAAGGTTAGTTCATGAGGCAGTTGGAGCTCCTCAGTTTGATTTTTAGCACAAGCGGTAAAGTAGTCGAACATATTATGGAATAGGCGTGGTGCTGTCTCCCGCTGAATAAGACGATTGTCTCTCAGCACTCTCAGCATTTCATTGGCATACGTCTCCTCCGCCAGTGCAAAGTTGTCCACGTATTTAAAAGACCAATTTCCACATGCGTACGCCCAGAAATTATTACAGGGTGAGATACGAGCATCCAGATTTGAATAAATATTTTGCATCGTGGCTGCATTAATATCCACTTGTGATTGGGCCAAAGCCGGCACAAGGCACAGCAAGCCCATTAGTACACTCGACATTTCAGTTTCCCGTCTCATACTGGACACCAAACTTGTCATTCAACCCATCCACGGCCACAGCCTTATCAACAAGCTTGCATGAGCTTCAATTTAATTTTTAGCTCGCGATAAATGATTGTGGTTGCAACAATCAGAGCTGGTTTTCAAAGTTAAAATACATTGCCCCCAACATATGTGAACAACGCTGATCAAGAAACATTGTGATAAAACAGTTTAATGTTAAGCTTTAATAAAATACATACAGCTGTAATTATGGTTGTAAATATATTTAAAATCCAACTGTTTTGTTCTTATTATAAAAACAAATAATTGGATATGCACAGCTTAAAAAGCTTTGACACTTACCCAACAAAATATTTCAATTAAACTATAGAAATTAGAATGATTTATGCTTATTTGTTTAACTTTTGTTTTCTGTCCACTGGCTTCTTGGATTTTTTCAACTGTCCCAGCTGTTTGGACTTTTGCTTAAGTTTATTTTGCTTTTTAATGGGCTTACCCTCCAGCAATGGTAGTTCATCCACATCCACACGCGGCGCCTGTGAGAGCTTATTAGTCAGCTTAGTTTTGTGTTGCGGCTGCGCCTTGCTGCTTGGCTTTTGTCCATTTTTTTGGGCCTCCGGTTGCTGTTCTTTTTTTACGCTTTTCTCTTTTTTATTGCCGTTCGATGGTGACTCTTGTAAAATGGTCAAATTCTGCTCTTTTTTGACCTTAGGCGTATCTGCAACAGGCGACGTTGACTCTTTACTTATCTTGTTCGTCATTTTGATGGGCTTTTCAAACACCTTGGCTACATATTTTGTCTTAGCTTTTTCAAGCTTTTTCTTTTTTAGGTCTTGTTCCACATCTGTTAGGCTTGGCTTTCCAGCTCGTTTTCCGAGCGTTTTGCGTGGTGCTTCGGGGGCTATTGTCTCCTCCTCGTTATCTGCTGCCGTATTTGGCTCGGCCTGATCTGATGCAATTGCTTCGTCAAGTTGCTTCTCATCCGCTTCCTGCTCCTCTTTGGTTATAGGAATGGTGTTCGAAAACTTTTTCAGCTTGGCCACATAAAAGCCATCCATATTGTTTGTATGTGGATAAAACCGCTTGCTCAAATGTAAGCTTGGGTGATAGCGATGCTGACGGAACTTGGTAAAACCAGGCTCACCAAAATCAATTCCAAGGGGCACTAGCTTTACATTACGCTTCTTAAGAGCATAATCAATGACCCACTCGTTCTCCTCGGGCAGGACGGAGCAAGTGGAATACACTATATATCCGCCAGTGGCTGATTTTGCATCCACACAATCAATGGCAGTGAGCAAAAGCTTGCGCTGCAAATTATAACAACGTTGCACATCAATCTCTGACTTGGTAGTCTTAACACTCGGATCCTTGGAGACAACGCCGGTGCCTGTGCAGGGCGCATCGAGCAGCACTCGATCAAAGCCCGTCATTATATTTCGGAACTTAGTGGCATCTTCACAGCTGACAACCGCATTCACAATCCCTAAACGGTGAAAGTTGGCCACAACGGCCTTGATGCGGTCCCTATTTGCATCGTTCGCAAACAGCACACCCGTGTTCTTCATAACGGCTGCTATATGTGAGCCTTTGCCGCCTGGTGCAGAGCACATGTCCAACACCCGTTCGTTCTCCTGTGGAGCCAACGCAATTACTGGCAGCATAGAGGATGCGCCCTGAACCATATAATGTCCTGCCAGATACTCAGGCGTGGCGCCCAACGGAACCGTTGAGTTGAAAATTACAAGGCCGACGTTTGTCCACTTGCCCAGCGGATCAAGATTAACACCTCGATTTATTAACGCACCAGCGAGGTCACGGCGACGTGTTTTTAACGAATTTGTGCGGATGGTCAACGGTCGCGCTACCTGAAAGAAAGAACGAATAGGATATGGATGTGGAATCAACACAGGCTTGCAGTAACGTTTTTGATAACCTACCTCTGAAGCCTCTAAATAATCCATCAGATCGCTTAACTTAAATATATCCATTAATTTGGACATGAGAAACTCATTGTAGCTGTAGTACAAGCACAGGTCCTGACGCAGCTGATCTACATACTCGCTGCGTGAGCGACCTTCCTCCCGAAACTTGCCGAAGTCCGAGAGCACCTGTGTAATATCTTTAATGCGCTGCTGAACATCCTGTAATGACAACTCCTTATCGGCGTCTTCACCGGGTTCAGGCAAATGGAACACTTCAGCCTGATCGACAGACATTTGCATCTCCTCATGAGCCAATTTTGCATCCTTGTCCTGACGCTTCTTCAGTTTTTTGTTGGCGCGCTCAATTGGCAACTTGTCGTCGTCGTCATCATCATCATCATCATCCTCATCGTCATCATCATCATCATCAGTGGCACATTCTTCATCATTTTCACTGTCTACATCTTGTTCGGAGTTGCCCTCGTCATCATCAAAAAGATCGTCCAATTTACCAACTTGAGCATCACCATCATCGTCGTCGATAGACTCTTCCTCTTCCCCATCTGTCCCTTCATTATCCTCTTCCTCTAGTTCCCCATCTGAACCAGCTTCAAATTCATTTTCAGACTCTTGCTCTTCATCTAGATCTTCCTCATCTGAATGTTTCTTAATCGTTTTTTGTGGCTTTTTTAATTTTAGCTTTAGCCAATCCTTGTTATCATCTGTGAAACCATTTGAATTGTTTTTTTTGACTGGCACAAGTTCTGGGACTTCCTCGTCCGAAGACTCCGCCTGTTGCTTCTCTTCGGGCTCGCTTTCGCTGTTATATTCCTTTTGCCTACGGGGCTGTTGAGTACGTTTCTCCTTCAATTTAGATTTCTGCACTACTTTCTTTTGTTCCCGTTTAGCCACACGTTGTTTTTGACGGTGCGATAGTCGCTTGTCCTCATCGTCAAGCGGCGCTGCAAATAAACAATTTAATATTTGCTGAACGGCAATAGGCAGTTACAATACCGAATGATTTCTTTGGAAACTTGGGTGGTCCCTGTTTTCGGGCCTTACGACCGGGTCCCTTCTTTTGTTTTTCACTATATTCTGCTTTGCGTCCCATATTTAAATCCTTCCAACTCACGTTTCGCTAGCGAAAAAATGTTTTTAAACAATGTGTGCCTCCACGTGCGGTGACTCTGACAGAGCTTCGCAACACTGCTCGGTCACTCTTCGATATAGGACGGTACAATATTAATCGAAATCGAAACTATCGTATAAAATATGTAATTGCAGACATTCTCCCTAGAGCGAAAGTTGTTTTGATCTTCATATTTCCAATATTCATAGATCATGGATACCACAAGTTGATATCTGATTATATTATATATGTAGCAAAACAGTAAAAAGAAAAAATATAAATAAACAATAACTTGAACAAAGAAATCGCCAATGCCAATTCTGAAACATGGACCGTCTCAAATTACGTTTGGTCAGTTGCGTATATGTGTGCATTTTGCAGCACTGGCTATAATTAGCTAGGCCATTCATTAAAAATTAAACAAAAACATGGATAATGTAACCATCTTAGAGCTTTTTGTGTAATACAGGTAAACAGTGATTGCTTATAAATGGATATCGCCAGCATTGAGCTGAGTGTGGAGGCGCTCATTGGTTCGCTTGTAGCGCTGAGTGTGCTCTTCATTTTTTGTCGCAGCATTCTAGCGGAAGATGTTGTCATTTGCATATCAGGCAAAACACGTCACAGCTGGAAATCAATAAAAATAATTGAACAGGTAAGCACTTAGCAAACAAACAAAAAACATCACTGGTGCTTATTACTATTATCTCTTATAACTGTGCGTAGGCCTGCTTTTGTAATGTGTGTGAGATATTGTTGACGCCATCTGCGGGCCTCTTCTGCGACTGTTGCGGTCTTTGCACGCACTCGGAGCCGACATGTCAGCGGCAGGCGGACGCTCGTTATCACTGTAAGGACAAATGGCTGCGAAACGTGAATACAGTGCGTCATTTGTGGGTGCGTGGAAATTTGCCAATGAACTACATTTGCGCAGAATGTGGCCAGGAGGCAGAACTGGATCATCATAGTAGCAGCTCTGGTCCAGGTCTTTATGGTTGGAGATGTGCCTGGTGTCAACGGTGTTACCACGACAACTGTTACAAGAACGTGGATAGTAAGGCTGAGTGCGACTTTGGCGAGTTTCGGGACATGATATATCCGCCCTACAGTATTGTAGCAGCCAGGACACGTGAATCTGTGCGTTTGCATCTCGCAGGCATCAAGCCGCCTGATGTTGAGAACTGGGAGCCGTTGATAGTAATCGCTAATACAAAATCTGGAAGTAGCACGGGCTCAAATGTCTTGTCGTTGCTGCGTGGTTATTTGCATCCAATGCAGGTCATGGAACTTGGCACACGAGGTCCGCAGGATGCGCTGCAGTGGGCGGCCAAAACCAGTCCACGCCCTTGTCGCATACTAGTCGCGGGTGGGGATGGAACGATTGGCTGGGTGCTCAACACCATCTATACGCTAAACATAAAGCCTCAACCGTCCGTGGCAATTATTCCACTGGGCACTGGAAACGATTTGTCACGCGTGCTAGGCTGGGGCGCTGAGCCTCCCTCCGTTATTGATCCGCTACAGATACTGCGTAGCGTTAGACGCGCAAGATCTGTAAATCTTGATCGATATGATCTGCAAATTGAGAAGTTGCACTATCGCCTTCCTATACAAAGACATCCCACAAAGACGATACACGTCTATAACTATTTTAGCGTGGGTGTGGATGCGTACATTACGTACAACTTCCACAAAACGCGTGAATCTCGATTCTATCTGCTCAGCAGTCGCATATTTAACAAGGTGCGCCTCATGAAACGATTCAAGTTTCCATATTTTGTTTTTATTGAAATATTTCTATTTTCCATTTTCGTACATTGCCTCTCGCATAGTTGTTGTACTTCACATTTGGCACACAGCAGGTCATGCAACCGGATTGTGAACGCATTGAACAGAAACTGGAACTTCATCTAGATAATAGGCTAATCGAACTACCGGAACTACAATCGCTGGTATTTCTAAACATTGATTCATGGGGCGCTGGGTGCAAACTATGCGAGCTGAGCAATTCCAATGGCGACGTGCGAATAGTAAACTCCATATCTGATGGCATGATGGAAGTGTTTGGCATAGTCTCATCCTTTCATATTGCCCAGCTTCAGTGCAACATAAGCAAGCCCGTGCTCATCGGCCAGGCCAAGCAGATACGGGTTTGTGATCCCTGGCATATTTGAAAAGATTTACGTTAATTAAATCTCATTGCAGCTGCGAGTGAATGGCACGGTGCCCATGCAGGCGGACGGCGAGCCCTGGATGCAGGCGCCGGCGGATATACGCCTACAGGCACGCAGCCAAGCTCGTGTGCTAAAGGCAGAAGCACCAACTCCCACCCAGTTGCAGTAGCAACTATTCTAAACCATAAAATAACCCTGTGCCACATGGATGATATAAACTAGTACTTAACTTTCGCTTTACTAGAATCTCTTTCCCATCTAAGCTAACCTAAGCTACTCGCTTAAGATCGTAGTTAGCCAGAATTTAAAATTTGAAAATGAAGTGAAACTATAAGCCACCCAACTCTACACAATATACCAAAACATAAGATTAACATCCAGATACTATCTGGGATTAAATAATTAAGTAAAATGTTTTAGATATTGACTTTTTAAAGCATGTCACTTTATTCTTCTCCTGTTAATTTGTTAAATGTTCGACTGGTGTTTAACATGCAGAGACGCATGCACATAACATTTGGGATTTGGGTTTGTTTATTTGTATTTTATCGAAAGGCGGGTAATCAACGAAAGCAACGATGTTCCTCCGTGGCCCTTAGAGCATAGTAAGCTCCATAATGGCATTAACGATGTCGTTGTTGTTGTTTTTCAATGCCTTTATGGCCTTTGCACGCGTCGTATTCGCCTGCGTTATGACTAACTCAATATCCTTTTCGTCGACGCCCGTGTCGTCAACCTCTTCCTCATCTTCTTCTGCAATTGGAGCCACTGAAGTGGTGGCACCAACGCTATCAGCAGCGCCAGCCGCTTCTGGTGCCTTGAACTTCTCGGCGGCAGCCACTTGAGCCTGCTGCGACAAGTCCTCGATCTTAGCCTCACCAAAAACAATATAGGTATCGCTGTGTGGGTTCTTGTAAACATCCGGATTGTTGATGACGAACAAAATGTTTTTAGACTTGCGTATGGTGACTCGATTGACACCCTGAATTTGCTTTAGGCCAAGCTTGAGCATGATTTTGCGTGCCTTCTTCTCACCGCGCGATTGCTTTGCCTTGGAGACAACATCGATGGGCAGACCTGTGGCACCGCCACCCAGCTGTGTGGTGCCTGTGTCAGCCTCCTCCAATTCGGGTATTATATCCGAATCACTCTCGCTACCATCATCCTCGACGCGCACATCAACGTCCTCAGACTGCTTCGCCTCAGCGGAGGTCGAAGGGGCCTCATTTTTGATTTCAGTGAGCTCAGGCATGTTTACCTATCAAAAACACAAAAAGAACGATGTTAAATTTAATGTGTAATGTTTTATCGATTTTTCGAGAAGTATTTCTCTGCAATTATTGGAACAACTATTGCAATATATGTAAAATATTATAGTTCAAGCCAAGCTCTTTTCTATACAGTTCTCAGCTCATACTTTAAAAACGTGATGTCAGGTTAAATAAATAATTATTTACCTATTAAAAGCGGCTGCACCACGGAATCGCAAAACGTTTTTAGTGAAAAAGAAGTGTTGCCACCTGGTAGAAAGCTGGGATAGGCATTATAGTGGCAACCACTACTGAACATTTTCATTGTTAAGCAGCGTAATCGATAACTAATGATTTAAGGTAAATCGACAAACGAGTGTAATCTGTTGGAAGCTTTTTGCTATGACATTCCGCGCATTGCTTATATTTACCAGCGCGAAGTGCTATTTAAGACAGTGCTATTGAGGACAAAATCCACAACAAAAGGTACCAATAAACTGTTTTAAATACGAGATACCAAAATGTCAATAGATCAAATATATTTTTATTCATGGACATACTCAAATCTATTACATAATTACTGTATAAGCAATGCCTCTACATAACAAGTAGACACGTATCAACTGTAATAACTGTAATTACTTTCCAATTTCCAATTAAACCGTATAAACAATTGATATACAGGTCATAATTACAGTTTTACAATTACGGCAACAACGTTCTGCCTGTATAAAGGGTTAAAATGACACAATTATGGAGAGCAGTTGCTGTGCCCATGCAGGATCCTGTGCACAAATTGTAAAGTGGGCGTGCCAATTGCTGGGTAAACATTGGACAGCTCTCGTTATGTGTTGCGGTTAACAGCGAACACATGTTCGACTTCGCATTTCAGAACCAAAACGTAATGATTATTAAATTTGTATTAGCTGAACGATATAATTTAGGGGCTGGCAGGCACACAAAATGTAACAAGTCTCTAGTAAACTATTTGGTTTTCATCATATAGAAATTGATGCACTCACGTCTGGCTGCAGTTGTAATTGTTGTGTTTTATTTTGTGCGCATTTTTAAGCACTGCAAACGAGTCCCAGCTATGCGAAGCATTCGCAACAATTTGTCAGTAAATAATTTCGATTTGTGCGCGACGTTGTTGTATTTCAGCATCTGTGTCTGTCACTATAGTCAGTCGTCTTGGTTAGGCCACATCCCGGGTGTCAACAGAGCACTGATTTATTTGAGCGCATGATACGCTTCGTTGGATTTCGTTAATTTGTCCGTTTTCCGCAAAGAGGGGTCTTGCAAATTCAAAATGTATATGTATTTAAGCACATATGTATGTACAATATATAAAATTTCCTTATAGAATTCGCTGCCAAGTATAATTGACGCAATGCCAAAAAATCACAAGCTTTTATCATTATAACAATAATCGCCAACAAGGCGCATAATTATATTGTAATTTATGCCCAATGCAAACTAAAGAAACTCAATCTACTCGAATTGCAATTTAAAGCTCGTAAAATATTTCAAACACTCAAACGTGACCAAATGCTTTTTAATTGCTTTCAATAGCTTGCGTTTCAGCAAACAAATACATTTTTTTTTTCGACTGCCAAAAATTTGGTCAATTATGGCCAATTTAAGCCACATATGCAAATTGACAACCGTGTGAAGTGTGGCTGGCATAACAATAAGTGTGAGGGCCGAATTGATATATTATGGCCAATTAAGCTACGACCGAAGAAATGCTTTAGGGTTCAAGAGCTGAACACATTACTAATATTTTTGGAAGAACATGGATAACACACTGTCCAAGCGTCGGAAGGCATTATTCCTTAAGATAAAATTATATTACATTTTAGGCTTTGCATAATGAAAAATACAACAAAATAAGCCCCAAGAAAGAGGGTCACTTTCTTTTGCTGTGCTAGTCTTGGCTTGCTTTGCTGTCCCTTATGTTATTCTTTCAGCAAATGAATTAAGTCAAGTTATTTTAATTCATAGAAATTAATCCACATATAGTGTACTCATATATAAATAGATACAAAAACAGCGTTTATGAGTAATGCAAAGCTCTAGGATATATGCAAGTGTTGCTGTTATCTGCACTCACGTTTACATCGAAATTGTCCCGTTAATATGCCACTCGAGAATCTCGTATGCCGACCCAATCATATCATAAACTAAGCTTGGTCCAAGTAGAAGAATCGGCGAATTATTCTCTTCCCCCATGGTTAGTCTGAGTCTGAGTCTGATTACCGCATGACTTGAAAGCGATTAGGGAGACTCTTGTGTGTGTGTATGTGTGTGTTTCTAGCCCCAAGAACAACCCCAACACTAATAGAAAACAGACAAGCTCAACCGGTTTGGCAGCAATTATCGTTCAGCCAATCACAGGCGGGCAGCGCTCAAACACTGCGCGCCATATTGGCCATTAACAAGGCGGAGCTAGCTCTTTCTTGCTCTCCGACTAGCTCCCTCTCTCTTGCTCTCGCGCCCAGGTCGTGTGCGTATGTGCAGTGGTGGTTGTTTTGTTTGATAGCATTGGGTGCCCAACTGTGCTGTGAAGTGCATGTGGCTGTTTTGGCTTTCATTTGCGCGCAGATCTTTGAACGGTTCACTGCGTCAACGTTGCGCGCACACGTGACGCCTTTTAAAAAGTCTAAGCAAGTGGCCAAATTCTAAGTTGATATGCAAAACGAGCACACGGCGCTGCTGCCACCGGTGGAGAGCAGCACCAAGTTGGTCAGCAAGCCGTTTCCGAAACCTTTCTCCATTGAGAGTCTAATTGCGAATCAAACACCTGCTGTTGTTCCTTCTTCCAATGTCGAGCTGGAAAGGGAAAGGGAAAGAGAAACGGAACTGGACCGGGAACGGGAACGGAATAGTAATCAAGAGCTGAATGCACGTGCTTTGGTGGCCAGCTCTGCCCTGGGTCTGGCACAGTTTCCACTTTACAATCCCTGGCTGCATGGCTACTTTGCTCAGAATCACGAACGGCTCACTCATTTGATTGCCGGCGGCGGTTACCTGGGCGGGCCCTTTAACGGTAAGGAGTCGCAGCCCCAACTAGCGCCCCCACTGCCACCGCAACCAACGCACGCCTTGGATGGCCTAAGCCTTAGTCCGACAAAGCCCAATGATGCTGAGTTGACGCATCGTCTGCCATTGCCGCATCCGCTGGACACCCGTTTTCTGCCGTTCAATGCTGCTGCAGCTGCCACGACGACATCGGATCTAAGTTATCGTCGCCTCGCGGAACTTATGAATCAGGACTATGTTCACAACTTAAGCGTACATGCGCGACTCCAGCACATGGCCGCTACTCGTGGCCAGGACGAGAGTCAACATCAGCCACTGGCACTGGCTTCGACGCAGGAACCGTCGTCTCAGCAATCATCACCCTCAAAGTCTCATAGCCCCACGGAGCCAGCGGTTGATGTGGGCATGGACGAGGACTACGAGTGTAGCGGTGATTCCTGCAGCGACATCAGCCTCACGATGTCTCCCCAAAACTACGTTGCAGAGCTTGACAAAAGTCGACACGGAGGTAAGTGCACAAATTATAGATCATTGCTTTGTATTTGACACGTTCATAAGGAATATGATCTTGGCTAAAGGGCCTGAACTGAGCTATCTTTTAAACTCAATCGTGAAACCTATCCGCGTTCTATCGCTGGCACTTAATCATGGGCATAATTATCATGTTCTATAACCCCAGCGGCTCCTTACGGTCTGCGGACTAAAGTGGTTTTGTCATGGTAATTAAAATTACGCAGTCAAGTCATAGGCAAAATTAGCATAAAACGCATTACGACCCAATGTTTGGTGTCAATCAAAACTGCAAAGTTCTCAACTCTTGCTCAGAGGAGAAAACAGACTGATAGAGAGTGAGAGAGAGAAAGAGTAGAAGAGAGAGAGAAAACAACAATAACATCAAAATGGAGCTGACATTTTGACAAACGTAACGATTTAGTCATTGAAATGGAAAACGTAACGAATAAGAAAACTTTTAGCAAACCGCATTTTAATGAGTCCTCAGCATATCCTTCGGACATCCATGCCCATGGAGTCTCCTTGTGTACAAGTGGAGTTAGGCGTAACGAATTGCCATATAATGTATTCATAACTGAATTTCATTTTATGTTGGGGGAGGGCTCATTGGTGCGATCTACCCCCGGGAGTGGGAAGATGATGAGGGCACATATAAATCAGTGACAACGCTGGCAATAGGCATATCTGAAGCGTGTAAGTGTTAAAAAGCGCTTAAGCGTTAACCAAAATAATCAGGCATACCGAAGGGATGAACGACTTGCTCTCACCCTCACCCTCACCCTCACCCTCACCCTCACCCTCACCCTCACCCTCACTCTTATCCCCATCCTCAACCTCGGCTTCTGTCAGTGGAACGTATAACATTCACACTCACACACACACTCAGATATTGAAAACAAACGCTTATTAAGTTTCAAGTGATGCTTTGTTGTTGTTGTTAAATTGGGATGGAAACCGTCGGTCGGCCAAGTCAAGTGTGGACACACATGTATCCAGTTATAAATAAATATGTTTGCCGCAAGTTATGACACAGCCCATTTACGCCAGAAGCAGAAGTCAGCGTCAGAAGTTGTCAAGGGCTGTTAATGGGCGAATTCAATGCGAAGGCCAAATACGAGTATACAGGATGTTTGGGAACTCAATTACTGTTAATACATATATTGTTGAATCCAAAGGATAGATAGACCTAGGAGAACTTTCAACTCGATGCATAAGACAACGCAAATTCATAAATAATCTGTTCAAGACTTCATCCCTTCAATGCGTAGCTTATACAAACTCGGACAGTGAGGATTGCAGTGATGATGATGGCGGCCACTCGCGACATGAGGCCGGCGGCAAGGAGTCCCAAAGCGGTAGCAGCAACAGCTCCAAGTCGCGACGGCGGCGCACGGCGTTCACATCGGAACAGCTGCTCGAGCTTGAACGCGAGTTCCATGCCAAAAAGTATCTCAGCCTAACAGAGCGCAGTCAAATAGCCACAAGTCTGAAATTAAGTGAAGTGCAGGTGGGTTTATGACTATGCACCTCCAAAATAAACACTTAATACCTCTCTCTTTCTCTGTATTTGCCCAGGTGAAAATCTGGTTTCAAAATCGTCGAGCCAAATGGAAACGGGTCAAGGCCGGACTCACGTCGCACGGATTGGGTCGGAACGGCAGTGCCAGCGGCACTAAAATTGTGGTGCCCATACCCGTGCATGTAAATCGGTTTGCGGTGCGCTCCCAGCACCAGCAGCTGGAGAAAATGTGCCTCAGCGGGCCCAAGCCGGATCTGCGAAAGAAGCTATCAACGGAAGCGATTAGTGGCTTTGAGAAGTTCAATGCCAGCGCTGGCCCTGCTTCTTCATCCGTAGGAGTGGGCGTGGCCATGGGAGTCGGTATGCCACCGATTGGCGCACTAGCGTCAAGTCCCGCCGCCTCGCTGGCCCTGGCGCGTAGTATTTATTGAGGAAGCACGACCCAAAGTTGCACCAAAAACATTTTTGTTAACGCTTTTTGCTAAGTTATCTTTGTACATACGAATGGTCCCCCCACCCCCTTTCAATTTGGCTTAAGTGTAGAGACCAAGTTTTGTAAATAAACACAATTGAATTGAAGTGAGCCAAGGATTTAGTTTAATGCTTAACAGCTTAAATGCTGATCATAATTTACAGTTAACCACCACAATAAATTTCTGGCCAACCGTATACGCCTACAAGCTGACAAAATCAGCTCGCATTGCCCATTTATTTTGGGCCACTCGAGGGACAAACAAGTTTCGGTGTCAATTGGAACAATTAAACTACCAATTTGGGCGATTCGGCACGGAGGCCCTGGAGGCAAATGTCGCAGCAACTCGTCGAGCCTTTCCCAGTTCTCCGAGTGTGACTAATTTTTGTGATTTAACGCACCAAATTGTCGCATGAGAGTTGGTAGCGACTCCTCCAGGCCGCATCAAACAATCACTCCAGGTGTCTCACGTGTCACGCCTCTTCAGCGCGAGAGCCAGGAACAGAAACAGCCACAGGCCCAGGATCACGGCAGAATCGCGAGGAGGGCGCACACATGGTGAGTTATTAGTTTTGTAATGCCCAAGCGAAAGGGGCTCTGCTCAGCCCTCAGATACTCTGTGTGTATGTGTGTGAATTGTTAATTGCATTAGCGACTTATTGGCCACGACAATTGACTTTTGTTTGCAGATTCAAAAAAAAAAACTCTCTAATTGTGTGTATGTGCGCAGAAAACTAACCACCCTGTAAATGTAGCCGGGCGCAAGGGGAAGCTTGATTCCGGCACCCTTGTATCCTTCCTTCTGTCCGTCGGCTCGTATCGTTTGCAGTTTTATGTTGGGACACGCCTCCAAGCATGAGTTTTTATTATTGTAACACTTTGCAGGCAATTTGGTGCCGGCTGCGAATACGGCTCTGACTGCTGCTCTTTTTCTTCTGTGTTGTGTATCCGAATCAGAATTGCGGCAAATGAACAAAGTGCTACTGGATGATGCTGCTGCTGCTGCTGATGTTTCTAAAGGATGTGTTTGGTACGGCTGCGGTGGCTGCTGTGTGAGCTGCACAACAAATTCAAATTATTCTGTGATAACTAATTTTCAATTGGACAGCGAGTCATACAACAGATGTGTAAAAGCAGACTTTTATCGGAATAAACTGATATTGTAGCTCATTTAAAGAACGTCTCAGCCTCACCCAGCATTAAAGTCTGTGTCTGTGTGGCCCAGTAAAAGGGAGGCAGGCAGGCAGCGAGGCGGGCAGGAAAGCCGGCACAGGATCAAGAGCAAAGCTTTTATTATAAATTATAACACCATTAATTACATCCGGATTTATGTCGTGTTGAGCTATTAAACAGCCATAATGCACCACGTTAAAAATCATTTTAAAATCATTAATACAAATTTGTATTTAAAGCACCGCAGTTTATACACCCTTAGAAATGTGTTAACTGATTAAAAAATTTAATAATTGAAAATGCTCTATAATAAGGGTTTAGTGTCCCAACGTGCAGTATTTGAAGTTTAGTTTAGTTTATCAATAATATTATTATACCCTCAATTTAAAATATTCAAACTAAAAAAATGAGCAACATTTTGCAATCTCGGCAACAGGAAATCTGTTAGCATAGTCCGGCCAACTCGAAAAAAGGGGGTCATAGTTGAATGCAGCGGCTCATAAATCAAATACGAAATGCTCGCTGTCATAATTTGTCATAAGGCGTGGACACGCCCTCCATTTGCTTGTGTCCCTTTTAGTTCTATGCTTATGTCCATGGCAGAATCGGTTGAGCCCAGTCTGAAACTGGAAACTGAAAACATGTGGCAAGTTTTTCAAACTTAAGTTTTCTTGCAAGATTGTTGCCGACTAGACCCGATTCCATATCAAAGAGTACGAGACCGACTTATTATCCGTTGTTCTTGTCACAGAAATCACTGCACTGTGGCATGCAAAGCAGAAGGAGGGGAAACTGCCCCGTGGGCAGAAAACAACAATCAGTAGAAATCGCAATCAAGAGACGGGCCGCCCTGGCAATCGTATAATCGCAATGCTGCCCACTTGGATTGGTATTGTGCCTGCGATCTGTCAATCGGCAGGCCCCTCGTCGATTATAGGCACCCACGGCTTGTCGTTGGGGTCTGTCACGGTTGCCAGTTGAAATTCTGTTGAAAACCGAAAAATGCATTCACGCACCTGAATCCCTAATGAATTAGACGACCATCGGAGTCCAGACCCACTCCACGATGCAGACTGGCAGCTACCGGCGGTATTGCATATTTTTCTTTATTCTTTTTTCACTTCTGTCTTGTGAATTAATTAATTACATTTTTATGATTTTATTAATTTCCCAACAAATAAGAGATTGAGACGGCCATTTACAGTACTCGGGTATTCGAATCCAACTCGGGTCCGGCTCCGTCTCCGTTTCCTTCTCCACTCTCTACTCTCTTCGCCCACCAATCCTTATCCCAATTCCCATGGCTTATGGGCACGTACGATGAGCTCGTAATAATAATGAATGTAAATTGCCTCAATGAGCGATTTAATGTCTTAATACATTATTTACAATGCATGTTCATTATTGTCTGGCTGCCGCCGTTGCACCTTTTTAATGCCACGCCCACACTCACGCTGAACGCCCCCGAATGAAGTGACCGACGGTTGACATTTCCACAAACAATTTGAATATAATTATTGCTATGGGCAAACATTTGTTGTTGTTTTTGTAATAATAACAATAAAAAAAGCTAGATTGCCCGTGTCAAAGAGCTGGCTATGAGATACTCTCTACCCATGCGATTCAATTGAAAATATTTATTATTTATTTTTAAATATTTGTTGCCTGACTTGAGGTCTTTTATTTATTTATTTATTAATGGGCGACAAAAACGACGGTGTTCCTAATTATTCAATACATTACACATATCATATATCATAAAGCGGTCATCATAGCTAAGAAATGGGGCTAGACAAGGATCAGTGTCTTAGTTTAGAAATAAAATTAAATTAGGATTTTTAAACAAAATATATATTTTCTAATTAAGAATATATGGCATTTGAGCAACTTTGTTATACCCTATTTAGTAACTTCAATAGTTACAGGGCATGAAAACAAACAAAGCGCCGACTGCATGTGCCTAGATTAATAATTCAATAATATTCATAGAAAAGAATTACTGAACTTTGAAAATATTGAAATCACTTCACAGCTGGCGGCTGCACTTCTATTATTTTTCGGGTTTTGGTCACGAAGGAAGCCATTTGTCAAACACTGTCAGATATTTCGTGCAAGCTAATTAAATATAAATATTTTATTTTGTGACCTAGTCTTGGATCTAAAATTAACAGAGCTCCAAAACAAGTCACCCAATACCTTACAATGTAAGAACGTGTGGATTATAGAAATGATCGACTGCCTCCACTGTATTTTTTTGCATAATTGGCATAGGGACATTTATCACTGTTTTGTTATCCGAAAGTACTTCCGCCCTACCGCATAGATCGCATGATCCTGACCGCATAATAAAGCAAATTTGGTCGTGTGCACGTTTTCCGAAAAAACTCTGAATTGTTGGGTTTTTAAAGCACTGTGTGTGGTCCTGCCCGGAGAGAGATCGTTTAGGATGAGTTACGAGGCCAGCCATCGAATCTACGTGCTCTGTAAAATTTTTATTGACTGGCTACCCGTCCAAAGGACACGTGCAGACGTCAGATAATTGATAAAACTGCTCAGATAAGATGAGAGTTTCAGTTAAGTAATTGATATTCCTGTCGACAGTCAAGTTTTACCGGCTACCCGCTGAGCACTGGGCGCAAAAGTAATCAGCATGTGGATGTGGCGACTAAAAACCGACGGACAATTTATGCCACAGCATTCGGAACTGGCAGCACCCCCACAGGAAGGGAAAGAGACAGAAAATGCTATAACAACATATATATATATATACATATATATATGTATACATGATTTTGGTGAGTTGGCAAAAAAAAGGAAAAATCTCGGAATAATAAAAAAAGTTTGCAGCACAAAAAGCACATCATTGTCATCTCCTGGCTAGCAATTTGGGAACCGTCTTTTTTGCAACGCCCACCGACCCACACACAGTTGGCTCTCGTCTGTGTCTGTCTGGACGCGCTCTAGTTCCGCCCACCGGCTTCCGGCCACATAAGTGCCAACTCTCGGTGAGTCTCGTTTTTTTGTTGTTATAATTTGGACGCTTTCAACGCTGGTTAGCAAGCGCTTAATGTACTGCAATGTGACGGAATGGGTGGCGCATGTCCATAATTACAAACCACCCACCGAGTGTGGTGGCCACTTGCCCCCTCTGCCAGTAAAAAAGTGATGACGTAGATTGTGCCACAACTCAATCGTTTGGCAACGCCCACCGCTCAGCAGGCGGTCAAATATTGTGGGATTCATTGTCGAGCTACTAAAATGATGCCGGTGGCTTGTGGCTGGACAATATAATAAAAAAAAAAAACACATTTCAGCTGAAGTAAACAAGCATAAGCGCAATGTATTATTCGGAATTGATATTTAGTAAAATGTTGTTTTCAAATTACAACTGCTTTATTTGGTATCCCACATATGCCGTAGCAGTCAGCTTTTGTTAATTGAGCGTTAGTCTATCGATAACTCTTGAATGTAAATGCAACCCGGGAGAGAGTAACTGTTCATTTAAAAAGGCGCAAAAATGCACGCATTCTTAAAATTTTTTCGGTTTATTTGTTCTTACGCGTATAACTATCTTCTGCTATTTTTTTGAGATGCTTAACTGTGGTTTTGTCGTTTTGGTTAACAAGCTTAAAGAGCGCACCATCCTCGCGCTGCAGCAGTTTATGCGGTGCTCCGAATTCGACTATCCTTCCTGCATCTATAACGAGGACGCTGTCATTGTCCATGACTGTGTGAAGGCGGTGTGCAATGGTTAACACTGTGCACTGGGAAAACTTGGTATGTATTGTCTCCTGTATAAGTTTGTCGGTGCTGTAACAATAAAATATATTAATTAAAGCAATTCACTGATGCCCCATGATCGCTTACTCGGCATCTACATTGGCCGTAGCCTCGTCCATAATGAGTATTCGATTATTACGGAGTATGGCTCGCGCTAAGCAGACCAATTGCCTTTGGCCCATGCTGAAATTTGAGCCGCCATCTTGCATGTGGCTGGAGAGGCCGCCCTCCAAACTGGCAACGTATTTTTTGAGTTTTACATCATGAAGAGCGCCCCAAAGCTCCTCGTCGTTTTTATCGCCAAACGGATCGAGATTGAAGCGCAAAGTGCCAGAAAACAGTACAGATTCCTGTGGTATGATTGAAATGCGACTACGCAGATCATGCAGGCCCAGTTGGGCAATGTCTTGGCCATCGATTTCGATGAGTCCCTCGTTGACTGCAAGCCGAAACAGGGCTTGTATTATGGAGGATTTACCAGCACCCGTGCGCCCCACAATTCCAATCTTTTCCATAGGTTTTGTCTCAAAGCTCAAGCCTTTCAAGATGTCTGTATCATCCGGTGCGTAGCGCATACGAAGCTCGCAGAAGCGCAAATGACCCATTTGTGGCCATTTAGCCGAAAGATTCACCGCTTTTGATGTCTCAAGTGGTGGTTCGGATGGCGTATTGGCATATTCCAACACACGCTCAACGCTAGTCATTTTATTCTCCATCTCTGCAGTTTGTCGCATACCCCATTGGCACATAATCACCAGTGTCATTGATTGGGTGATAGCCAGACCCACATCGCCGCTGTAGAAGCTCTGATTGATAACTAGGAAACTGAATGTAACGGCCAGTATGTAAACTACACAAATAAGATCCGTCCAAAAGGAAAATGCGCGATTGGCACTCGTATAAAGAAATAGCGCAGAGGAGTTGGTATTCTGGTGTCCATGAAAAGTACGCTCCAGCTGTGGCATAGCGTCTAAGGCCCGAATTGTAGTTAAGCCTTGAAACGTTTGGTTGGCATGCGAATAAACTGGACTACGAGCTGATAAGAAGAACATGCAAAAGAGTATGTCGTTAGTTGAGGTGAGCTAGGTTTATGCCTTGCTTCTTTGACTTACTTAAGCTCTCAATACGTTTGAGGCTTCGACTTGCACCTATGTAATAGGAACGGCACAGAAACATTAGAACCGCCATAATAGCCGCTGGAATTAGCAGCCAATAGTTTGCAATAGCCACAATAACTAATACTGCCACCACATCCACAAAAAACTGTAAGAAATTGAGAAAAACATTTAAAAACCATTAATTATATTTGACTTTTTTTTAGTTGGGACTAACCTGCAGTGAGTCCATCATGGCCTGTGGCAGCGCCACATCCACATTCTCAATGTCGCTGGAAAAGCGATTTAGCACACGTCCCGATGGATTTGCGTTAAAGAAGAACATGCGGGCACGAATTATCCCATCAAAGAGTTGATTATGTAGTCGAAGTGAAATACGCAGGCATAGGAGAAAAAATCCAAAAGTGCGCAACAAATAAAATGCCAGGGTGCACACCAGGAGGACCGAATACCAAGTGACCATACGTGTGCGTGCATCTTCGAATTGCTCGGATGTTTCGTATTCTCGATTCTCCTCCCAAGTCGCCCAACGAGATATAAAGATGTCCACCAGTGCTTGCAAAACTCGGGCAAGTATAAAGAGCGCGAGCACCAAACATACCAAGACGGGAGAGCCCAGAGCACGGAAATAATCCTTGTAGATGTCATAACCAACGGCGCCTTGATGCTGCCGCTCTGCGAAGTTGTTCCCGTTGTTTGGCTGCACATCCATAGCCTTTGCAGGATCCTGGAATAGCTTGGAGTTTCTGTCTACTTGGCTAAGCACTCGCTTCACCTGCAACTTATCAACCTCAATAGCATCCAAATCTGGTGCTGCATGCTTTTCAATAATATCCCGCAGATCCGCATAGCTGCCTTGATGTGTTAGACGGCCCGATTCTAGTAGCAATAAATGATCAACTTGCTGCAGCAACTGCACATGATGAGTCACCAATATCCGCAGTTTGTCAGCCAAAAATCGATTGAAGCACTTCTCCATTAGCAGTTTACCCACTTTTGAGTCTACTGCAGCTAGTGGATCATCAAATAAATAAATATCTGCCTGACGATATACAGCACGCGCAAGACTAATCCTCGCCTTTTGCCCGCCGCTTAAGCTGATACCCCGTTCACCCACCACAGTTGCATCGCCACTGGGCAGCAGCGCCAGGTCACAGTCCAGCTGGCAAGCATGTATCACTCCACGGTAACGCTGCTCATCGTATGGCTCTACAAAGAGTATATTATCACGAATGCTGGCCTGAAAGATCCAGGGCTCTTGCGGTGCATAGCTCAACTTGCCGAGCAGTTCCACGCGGCCCTGCATGAGCTCCACCTCGCCTAAAATAACATTCAGGAGGGTACTTTTCCCAGAGCCTACGTTTCCAACAATGCCCACCATTTGCGTCGCTCGAAGCTCAAAGCTGATACCTTCAATATGCGCGCGGCGCGCTTGCCGGGTGTTTGGCATGTTCCAGCTCGCACTGACATTGCTAAAAGTAAGAGACCTGACATCGCTCTCCACACAATGCAGTCGACCGACAGAAATTGGCTTGGCTGATGCCGAAGTGTCTGTGTTGAGTTGCATTATGGGATTGTCACAGCTGGAGCAGTTTTTACTAGTGGGTGATTCGCCCTGCTGCAGAAATTCCGTTACACGCCTTGCGCTGACCACAGTCTGTGCCCAAGTGGTGATGGCCAATGGCCAAAAATGGAGCAGTGAATCATTCAAAAGACTGTAGTAAGACGAGAGTATAAACACCTTTTGTGCAGTGACCACGTCGCCGGTGTACACGTAAGCGATGAGACTGAGAAATAGGGAGACCTTCGATATCATATTGGTGCATTGCAGCGCAGCGTAGATGCTCATAGAACCGCGTATTTCTTTAACCTCGAGTTTGCGTACAGTGGCTATTATCTTCGCAAAAGATTGCTCCCAGGCATACATTTTAATCACCTGTATGGCGCCTATAATCTCGTTCATTAGCTTGACACGCCGATCTCGCTGTTCCGCCGATCTTGTGCGAAATTGAGCTGCCGCCTTGGCTGCCCAGGCCTGTAACGGAATCAATAGAACAATAAAGGCAATTCCTATGAGAGCCGTCCAGCCAATCTGTGTGTACATAATGTATCCAAAGATGCACGCCTCCACAGGGCCCTTCCAAAGATCGTGAAAGAAATAAAATGTCAAATCGAACTGCGGCAGATCGATGGACATTACTGATATGGCCAAGGCGCCCAGTCCATCTCTGCCATTTATTGCCGCCCGCAAACACTTTCGGTATATTAGCCCAGCAAAGGCCACTCGGATACGTGTACCCACGGCAAATACATAAAACATAAATGGATGAAACACCAGTGAAGTCACTAGCGTGCACAGAACAATGCCCATGGCATACATGTATGCGTCTTCCTTAGTGATTCTAGTTTGCCCCTCGGCATAGTAAGAGATCAAACCTCCCAGAAATATTGGCTGAAAGGCGCTGTGTAAAAAAAAAGGTTGAGAGTCGGCACATCAATGAAATAGATTGTTAAACCGCATTTAACTCGCAATTTTAAAGGCAATATCCTTTGGTAAGTTACTCATATTTAAAATTCTACTAAACTAAATTTTAGAGGGGCGATAAAATTGCTTGGTTAAATACCAAATAAGAGTGGATTCTCCCACAATCCAAGCTACACTCACTGTATTACGATCTCCAGCGTTGAGTAGATCACACAGACAGGAACGAATTGGCAGCCGTAAAATGTGAAGATTAGATGTAGCACACTTGGCCTTTTGCGTTTCGATTCACGTATCCAGGGCTGCTGCAAATCCTCCGTCAGTTTATCGCTGTCGAAGGAGGGCAGATTGGCGTATAGCTCGTTGTCTGATAGTTCTTCTCGGCGTCCTTTAGCGAACACATGACGCATCCATCTAAAGTATTAGAATAACAAATGAGCGCCGAGTCTTAGTTTGTCATATCTGTTAGACTGAAGGAACGTGCTGGTGAACAGGCACAATACACAGATTCGTTACTTCACCAATGATTTATTTGGAGCGAGTAACCAAATGATTAAAAACAAATGCATGCGAGGGTAAATATCTTGCAGACCACCTTATCGAGTAAGACAGGAGATATGGAGCTTAAGTGGGTTGTCAATCATGAATTATTTTTTTAAACATTGTGATTTTATGTTGAACTCACACGAAAAACCACTTTGAAAAAATATTTGCCTCTAGAAAGGGATTTGTTTCGCGTTTTTGGTTTGCCTGCGTATTCATAGCGCCATTCACGAATTTTTACTACCATCTACGGCTGACGATTTAAAAATGCGTCGTATGGTACCTATACCACCTCTTATAACTAATTTTTGTGTTCGTTTGAAGTGCTAGACCGTCATCAGAACACACTTAAACGTATTTTGCACTTGGCACACTGCAAACTGCTGATAAAAGTGGCGGTCAGTTGGCCAATGGGACTTGTCTGAGGCTTGTGGCTAGTATAGTCAAATGCTTAATCAACAGCATTATAGCGCAGAAAATTGCCGGCCATTTGTGCGGCCATTTAGTGCAGATTGCAACTGAGTTTGTTTTACTTAAGCGTGCCCTGTAAATCTTCGGGATTTTTTGGTAATTCGGCTTTTTTTCTCTAGTGATAAAAATGATTAGTGTTGTTTTTGGACGGGGCAACGTTCTCCGACAGCTGTTCGAGGTTGTACAATCTAATCTTGGCGAATTTAAATGTTATTTCGTTATAAATTTCGTCATAGATAAGTTGCCTACAACTATTTTTACGGCAATATGTACGATAAAAATAGATGAAAGCCATTGTTCAGTCGATGCTAAGCTTTAATAAGACATACACGTGCACAGCCAATGGGCGAGGCTATAAATACAAACAGTAACACAAATGTTGAAGTAGAGGTTAAAAAAAAAAACAATAGTTTAACACATTCCACAATACGACAAATAGAAGATTGACCTAGTTTTTCAGCTGAATTTGGAATTCTAAGGCAGAGCGTGCAGCTCCTCTAGCGTATAAAGTTGATTCGTGCGATCGTATACCATACGCATATGATGCAACATATCTGGCAGCTTTTCAATGGCGCGCGGCACATCCGCATCGTGACAGACGCGCTTGAAGAGCTCGCCGCGCGTGGGTATCGCAAACATCGCCACCTGGGCACCTTTGCGTATAAGGAATGGGTGATGCCTGGCTAGCGTGTCGTTGTATGCTGACTTGCAGACATGGTGCGCTCTATCGCCATCGGCCACGTCTCGCAGACGGTTCAAAAACTCGTACACAAACTCTGCAAATAAAAATATATGATAACGAAAACATGATATCTTGTGGTAAAGCAACTACCTAAACCACGGTGTAGGCGCAATAAAGTGCGACTGCCAGATACGTAGCCTTTCTGACGCAGTAGGCTGGCACCCTTTTCATACAGGATCATTGTTTTGATGCTGTCGAAATGCTTTTCACTCCCAGTGTCCTGCTGTCGATGCTCATAGAGAATATCCAGTTTGGTGCGCACGTCGCTGCTCACAAAGGTGAACACGCTGCCCATTAGCAAAAAGAATCTAGGGAAGCAGTTCTTAATTGTTGTGTATTGATGTATGCTTATTAACTTACTTCATGATTTCTTCGTATGCCTCCAGATAGTCTTCCATGCGAACATCATCATCATCAATTAGGCTACCTTCAAATAGTTCTGAAACTTTTTCAATATCAAAACAATTTTCTCCACCTACAGAATCGCCTACAGCTGACATTTTTAATATATCCTCGTATGGAGTATAGCTTCTATTGTCGTCAATAAAAACAATAAAATATCAGATATCGGTATCGGTACACAAATATCGATACGACGTTGAAGGTTTCTGTTTATGCTTTTCGATAGGTAGGTTAGCTATGCGTTCGCGTCGACTAAATTTTGATGTATACGATAGTCGATTTGCGTGGTATTATTTGGCATATTTAATATATAAAATCCTATCGGTATTTGTCGATATCGACATATAATATCATCTGTTTTAAAACCAAGTGCGAAATGAATTTAGAAACATCTTCCGAGCTTTTGCTCACAAAAGAGCAACTACAAAACATATTAGCCAAGCTGACCGCGGGATATATAACGTCAGCAGAACCAATTACAACTACACCAATTCTGCCTCCATTCAAGAAACTTGGCGTACTCGTTGACTTTGATGAAATTGTAGAAGCTAAAGCAACGAAAGTTCCCACATACAAAAATATCGTAAATGCTAAGACGACACAATCACAGTACTACAGCTGCATTCAATGTCGGCGCCAACTTCCCACTGCACATTTATTGGATCTGCACATCACCGAACAGCACGATTTGTATTTTGCGGCAAGCGTGGAACGCGGCGATAAGCCTCTATACGCTTGCTATATTGAAGAGTGTGCTATGAAATTCTATATGCCAAGTGAGCGTAAGGACCATTGCATCACGCTGCACAAGTTTCCGGTGAACTATCGTTTTGACCAAGAAAAGGCCACTAAACCTAAGAGTCGCAAGAAGAAAGATGCGGATGCCATGGATGTGGATAATGTGCCCTCATCCAACGAGGGTAAACTTCCCTACATAAAGGCTTTTAGCTTTGGGCATCCTACACAGCGAACTTTCAATACACGCAAGGAACGCGGCTCTGACAAGGCGTTGAACGATGTACAGGCAATGAAAGAAGCACTTGAAGACTTGAACTAAGCTTTATGTTGCCATTTTATTACTCGAAGTTTGCTTTATAAGATACTTGTATTAATTAACTTGCGGAAACGTGATGATTATTTTGTCTTGATGCTGGACCTGAAAATCGAGAATAAAATGAATTGTTATGGTAGGGTCAGATTTTTTCGACTAATACATACTTTCCCGTGTTGGCGTTGATGTAATGGTAAGCAACAACGAGCAGAAAAAGGAATACGCCCAGAACGTTTGAAAAGATGGCTAACTGCACGTCGGTGATCATTTTGATGCTGAATCTCTAAAAAAAAAAAAATTAGCATTTTTCAGAACGCTGGTGACACGTCATGTGTCAAGAGGCCGTGTATAAATTTGATATATCCACAAAAAGTGCAGATAAAGTGAATTTCACAACATTAAATACGCGGCCTTAGTTAACAAATAGACTCTTGAAACATGACTTTAATCATATATTTACTTTTTGTAAAAGAACAAGCCGGTTTTGTTTAGTCTTATTAAGTTAGCTAGAGATGCTTAATAGCTATCGATTCCTCCAAATCAAGTTGATTTTATGACACTATCGATATAAACAAATTCCAGTACTAGTATTTTATAATCGAATATGTTATATTTATCTATCGATGTTTAAAAACTTCAACACCGATAAGAGGACTAAAAATACCAATTAAAGCCCTGCCAAGTTTAAAACACTTGTTATTTATAAAATATTTTGATTTATTGAACGACCTATATATATTGTGAAATTTTTAAAAACTAGACAGAATTTAATATAATACCTATTAACGATTGGCAGAATAGCAAATCGAGATTTCTATAATCTTAAGGTCACTTTAGTGGTTATAGTCATCAACAACAATTGAAGGCCTGAATAAACGGTGCATACCTAAACGAATATCTCAGACTAATACATTAAGTTGTACATATATATGTTTGCCTGCGCTCAGTCCATTAAATTACCATGTCTGACCACAGTTATGCAGTCACGAGGTAAAATTAAGTGGATTTCCACGATACACACACATAAAATGCTATTAATCTAGTTAAATTAAATTAATTTAAATTGCATATATGTATGCAACTAAAAACAAACATAAGCTTTGCTTTGTTTTAACCGTTACATCAAGCGATACAATTTTGCAGATCCCTGTTTGGCTTATAAATTATGGAATTTGTGTCCTAAACGATTACTAAAACGATTATTGCAATCAATTGTGGGTTAATTTGTTGTAAGAACAACCGATGTACGTGTCTGGCTTAAGTCCTGTGAGCTCCGAGGCAAATACGGTTGCGTGCGAGGCTTTGTGGGAAACAAGTCCGATACGTAGTTTGCCTGAAAGTAAAAAAGGGTTTGGGGTTATTAAAGTACATTTTTTAGTTTTTGCGTGATAATATTTAAGGTAGCTCCTAAAAGTATGGTATGGTATATAAATGATCTTCGGCACATAAACTAATGGCTAAACTAAAATAAAAAATAATATTTATCCATAGAATGATTACTTTCTGATATTAATTGCATGAAAATTGAGCTTTTACCTCAATATTCAACGACTCCTAATGTGCATGAAAATATCTCTATATGTGCCCTGTGTGTCAGTTAAAATTCTGTGCATGTCCGTCAAACCAAATGAAGCATAAAATTGCTTATCTATATATATGTATCTAGCTGCAACATGCAGCTGGTCATTATTCATTTGAAACCAATTCGACGATTGCGTGCCACATGCCAGTTTGCAAAAGTATGGCAGGAAGGTGTTGAAACCGGGTCAATTAGGGGCACGACTTGATAAAACGAATGGCGAACTTCTGATATTAGGCAGAACGAGTTAAAGGAAACGCCAAGTTGTGTATGTCAATGCAAGTTATTTTAATCGCTTAGAGTCTTTGCTTTACAATGCTTTAAATTAACCAGAAAATATCTTTGATCTGTTATTGTTTCTGAGCGAATTCACTGGGTTTTACCATATTTGCTGAGCCAAACAGCTTGCAAGTTGAAACAAGCTTTGGGCATAAAGTAGCACTAGAAAAAGATGATCAAGTGATGTATGGTAAAGTGTGGTAAATATGACACGACAATCAGATATTGTATTTGGACTATGTTAGAGGCAGCACAGTTGAACTTACCACGATCAGCGCACAGGCTGCTCCAATGGCTGAGCCCGCCAGCACATCCGACCAGTGATGCTTGTAGTCCGAGACGCGGCTCAGTGCCGTGTACCAGGCGATCATGATAAATAGGAACTGTAGTAAGTGGCGCAGCAGCTTCGAGCCCTGCCAGTTCATGCGGGATTGCAAGTAGAGCTGCAAGTGAAAATTCGAATAAGCAAAAGGCAAAGATCGTAAACAAAGGCGCCACACTTACCGCCACATACACCATGGTATAGAAGGTGAAGCTAGAGTGTCCACTGGGAAACGATAGGCGCATCTCCTTCAGCATGCGCGCCGACGAGCCAACTCCCTGACACTTAAAGTCAGTTATGTATTTGCCGACATTGGTCGCATTATCGCAGTTAGAGCCATCGGGCATGAGTGGCTGGCACACCTGTGAATATGTTAGGAGCAAACGCACACTTATTAAAAACCCAGCCGGAAAGCAGTTCAATGAAAGCTGTTTAGTTACTGTCCCGTGTTCCCTTGTCCCTCCCCCCTGTTTGCAACATGTGCTGCACATTTGCAAAGCAACTGCTACACATTTTATGCGCAATTTTGCACAACTGTTGCCGCACTTCACTAAATAATAGGGCGTCTCTGTACTGTTTGACAGCTGGGGGAGCAATAACAAGACGACGCAGTGCCCCGCCACCAGAGACAACTCTTGCCACCAAAGTTGTTGGCGACACGCGAAAATGCGAGGACTGTTCAACAAATATATATATAACTATGAAATTGTTTTAATTAAAGTTCGGTTCAGCTTAATGTGGGGCTGTTCTTTAGTCAACTTATCCAGGTCAATATTCGGTTGATGGCAAATTAATGCAGTTCATGCCCCTATTCAAAATCTAACGAATATTCCTTCAAGCAATTTAAAATTGTTGCTGATTTCTTAAACGGTCCTCGTTTGTTGCAACCGCAACAATTTGTGGAAGCAGTCAAATAAACATTAAAAAGAAAATAAATATAAATTGTCATTTGGAGCTCGACGCATGTCAATGTTTAAATTAAATGCACTTATTAATAGCCTCTTCGTGTGTGTCTCCTGTCACATGTCCTGTTGCATCTGTTGCATATTAAAATTAATTGGCAATGTCAAATGTGAACTCGACTTTCTTAATTGCCATTCGATTAGGCAACTTACCGCTATGAAATGTGGACGCAGACGGCCAATCGAATACTTGGCTATATCCGTGGTTAGTTGACTGACGGCGGCGCCAAAGGCGAATACACCCATTTTTTTGTAGCACTCGATCAGCCAGTCGGGAATCTCATATGACATGAAGACATAGCGCCGAGACGTTCCCGTTCCATTAGCACTTTCTTCCCGCGAGCGCAGCAGTTCGATGCAGAGGATCTGTAGAAGAGTGAACCAGGGAAATGTCGGTGAGTGCGTTTATCAGTGGACATTTCCTTTTAGCACCTTGTCGAGAGTGTTTTCTTATGAATAGCTACAATAAATAGGCATGGAAAGGTATGCAAATAACGATGTTGCCTTCGACCTCGTTTCGTGCTATATTTGTGATTTGTTTTATTTAGGCTTCGTAGGAATTAGGGCCATAGTTTTATAGCCCATTACGATGGCACAGATGTTGCTCTGGTTTCATTGTCGACATGTGGACCGTCGAATAGCCACCATGTGGCAGATGACTAGTCTCGATCTCTGGCAACTGGCGTATTGCATCAGCTTAAAACTGGAGCATATTGAAGAGTTTTATTTTCTAGCTTTTTAAATACGTTATCGGCAATTGTGTGAACTTGAAATGATTGTGCAATGCGCTCTGGGGACTGAAGACTGACATATGCTTGACACAATTTACATGGGTGGCCACTTGGGAGCAGTGCCAAGAGCTCCTCCACCCCCAATTGCCCGCAGCAAGCAATACGCAATTTAATTCAATTCAATTCAATTATATTGCCCAAAAAGCCATTTGATTTGTGCTCTCTCTCTCTCTTCTCTTCTGTACTTACCACGCCGACTGGTATGACCAGCCCGATAATGTACAGCATCCAGTTCCTTACAGTCGAGTCCTTAAAGGGATGCTTCAGCGATTCATCGTCACAAAAGAAGCCGCGTTTATATGGATCCCCAAGCAGAAAGAACAAAAGTATGGGAAAACCAACTGCAAATGGAAAATATAGAATTTATCAATAAATAGGAATTTAATCTAAAAAATAACTACTTAGACGATTAATATTTTAAAGTTGTGCCCAGTTGCCGTAGCTACAACTTTTGTGTCACAATGTATATTATAGATAGATCTATCAATATGCATTTAGTAGGTCATTGGGACTTGCGTTGAGTATTATGTGGCATTATCGGCCAACTTTACCGCCACCCTCCAGCCCTTCCCCCCAAAAATATATACATTTTGGTATGAATGACACTGTTGACTTACGATATGGCTAAGCTATTGATAAGATTACCAATCGACTTCTTGTGCGGCGTGCCGAATACGTAGGGAGACAACACGACGACCAACTATTTTGGGCCCAACAGCTGCACGCAGCATATCGTATAGGGGGGGAGGGGTCATGGGGAATTGGAGGGTATGGAGCTATCAACAAGTTACCCACATTTTTTTAAAATTCAAAATGCACTGCCATTAATAACAACTTTCAGGCATGCATATAGCGTGGCTAGACAAATGGTCTGTGAACAGCACACATTTTGATTGATTGATTGATCAAGCGACCAAGCGAACTCATCCATCAAAAAGTGGCTATCGAAAGTGTCAGCGACACTTGAAATATGTTTGTTTTGAGCAGAGTCCACGCACACTGTGCTAATTATAATGCATTGTATAAAAGTACGGGTATCTAATTAAAATTAGATTAAGGCTCACAAATGCCACACCAGCCGGAACGGCACTCCATGCTACAGTTGCATTTACAGTTAGAGAGTGCCTAATTGCCATTGCAATCGTGCGTATTACCTGTGTGTGTATTACCTGCCAGCGCTGCGCTAAAAAAATGGAAAGCCAGAGCCCTTAAATTCGAGGTTAGTTTCGTAAGTGAGTCACAAGAGAGAATACTCTTGCCTCACTATATCTGACTATTTATATCCGACTATTTATAGAGCCAAGTGCTCATTAGCTAGATGCCGATGTCTCGCCAGAATCTTATGTAGAGTACTCGCTGGCGACGATTGCCCGCAGAGGCAGACGGAGGACTTTTGAACTTGGAGTTGGTTATTAATTTTACCACCCAATGCCAGACAAAGGGACACCATTTGAGTTAGGCAATCGGGGATCGGGGACAAAGGTTGACACTGAATGAAAATGAAGCGGGAAAAGCAGCTGCATTGAGAACAGGTTCGATCTCTAAGACACATGAAAAGCGAAAAGTAAAGCAACAATTGTGTGGAGTCTTAACGATCTGCGCTGGGAAAGTTATGGCCCAGGCAT